GGGCTACACTTGAAAAAACGTGGACAAACACCCATTATCCATCGACATTGCCAGTGCCGACACCGGGAATCGAACCCGGACCAGAGTAGGAAGCCTAGCCGAGAAATGTTTGTCACCGCACTCCCGACCGACTGCGCTACCGTGGCTATATACTTTTTAGGGAATTTTTTTGGGGTATTTAAATTGGGTATAGGACCTTTATACTTGGTTCAAGAAAACTTCATGTTATGTAGAATCATCACACCAAATTTTCAAAATTTTGCACAGCAAAAACCAAGGCCCTTAGATACTTGAAAATTAAATATCATATAGAAGGGTTCTCAAGCTTTCAAACATTTTTTGAAAAATTCGAATCCGCCAATTAGGAGAGCTCTGGCGCTTGTTTAAACATTGGTCGAATGTTTGTACTTATAAACAATTAGAATAACTTTGTGAATATTCAATCAAATCAAATTTTATAAAGCAGGTTTTAAAAGTTCTTGGAAAGACGCTTCTTTAAAAAAAACAGATCGATTTGTCAATTAGTTACGTAGTTATAGCCGATCAAAGTTAACGGTCATTTACACTAAATGTACTGGGACATCCGGGCTAATTTTTCGAAAAATACCTTTGGTATTCCGAGTACTTACCAGGTCTAAGATTACAATACTTTTTTTCATTGGTAACCTATGATTTTTTTTTAATTTTAGCGTATTTTCAAATGCCTATCGTTAATAATTATTGGTCTTTCAACAGTCCGATAATTATTTATCTTTAAACTTCTTTTACTTATCAACTTTATTTTTCTATTGTATCAAAGGTAAGTACATAAACTTATATAAGTACTGTTTATCAAAGATCAAAAACAAATTTATTTAAATATTCTGAAATTGTTTAAACAACAATTATTTTCAAAATATGACGAAAATTAGTAATATAATGAGTTACCTAATTTCTCATTTCCTTATATTTTAAACAATAAATAATATTTGAATTATACTTTAATCACAAAAAAAATAATATTAAAAAAAGAATCTTTATTTCATATCAATATATTATTTCGTATTCGAAAAATACGACCTTGAAAGAAATAGATACACGTATACGAGTATACCGTTAGGAAAAGAATCTCTACAATGTGTATATACCTACAGTACTATTTTTTTAAAACCTGACATAGGCCAACTTTTTTATTTGAAGTAATAGACTAGTACTTCCAAATGCAAAGTTGTAGGAAATAACTTGATTAAGAAAAATTTACAAATATTTCTTTCCGGTCTTGTCAGATGTAAATGACGGTTAACTTTAATCGGCTATAACTACGTAACTAATTGACCAATCGATCTGTTTTTTTTTTAAAGTAGCGTCTTTCCAAGAACTTTTAAAACCTGCTTTAATAAATTTGATTTGATTGAATATTCACAAAGTTATTCTAATTGTTTATAAGTACAAAAATTCGACCAAAGTTTAAACAAGCGCCAGAGCTCTCCTAATCGACGGAGTCGAATTTTTTATAAAAAGTTTGAAAGCTTGAGAGCCCTTCTATGTTATTAAATTTTCAAGTATCTAAGGGCCTTGGTTTTTGCTGTGTAAAACTTTGAAAATTTGCAAATTTTGTTTCAAAATCTGGATTGCAAAATTATTATGCAAAATCTATAGAACAGATTTTGATGAAATTTGGTGTGATGATTCTACATAACATGAAGTTTTCTTGAGCCAAGTATAAAGGTCCTATACCCAATTTAAATACCTCAAGAAAATTCCCTAGAGTATTATTTTTAACCCCATTTTTGCGATTTTTTCGATTTTTACCATAATAATCATGATTCATTCGATTTGTAACTAGTCATGTTTTGTAAAAAATTTAATTACAAACATTTTTTTCCTCTTCCATTTTCGCCTAAAATCAACTCTTGAAAAGATACATAATTAAATAGGAAGAAAAATATGACGTTTTTCGAATTTTTTTAACATATTGTGCCGCCAAAAGTTAAGTCCACGTTTTTTTTTATGCGGATAGAAAAATTTTCATTTCTAGTGATGTTTGAAATATTCGATTCACCCAAACCAAAACAGATGCCGCCTAGTCTAATGCCCCTATTTCTCTCTGAATGAGAACGGTTTCAAAGTATCGAAATACAACGAATGCGCTTAAATTCGAGTCGTGTACACATATGACCAGAGACTTCTTCTATTCTGGTTATAGAACTGCAAGATACTAGAGTCAATGTTCGACCCCACTTCATGGCGACTGCTCCAATTTCGGTTGGACAATTGACTTCTCTGGATTTGAGCGAATCACGGTTGTTGACCTGCTTCCTCGTGGAATTTGGCTATTTTTTTAGATTTATATTTCGAAAATGGAGTGAACTCTGTTGTCGGCTGGGGGAGTTTGGAATAGTTTGCGGCTCTGTGGTCAATAACGGAGGGTGGATTTGAAACATGGGTGGTAATTTCGATTCGGAACATAGGTGAAAATTTCGATTTCCGTTCAGCATCTGCTGCTTTACAGAAATGGACGGCTAAATACTCTCGAGTATGTTCAATTACATTCGGCTGGATTTTCCGCAAACGGTTTCATAGGTCAACCAATTAAGACAGTCTAAGAGCATAAACAGATTGCACGACTAAAAAAAATAATAAGAAAGGACATATATCTTGAAGCATTATACATACTTAGTATTTAGGTGTGCAGCTCAAAACAGGGCCCCCTTCCCACCCGTTAAAGAAAACACGATCCCTCATTTAGAAATTACTAGCTTGCACATAGCTTTTGCCTTTCCCCTGGTTAGAAAAGGTCCCTCATATTTCGATTATCGATTTAGCTTATTTTTCAAGCAGCAGATTATAAAAGTTAATCTCTTTAATCATTAACTAGAAATAGTGATTATAAAGAATATAATAAAAGCTAATAAATTCTAAATGATCTTTAACGTTTATTGTGCAGATAAAAAATAATTAATTCTCGCTATTTTGAAACTATGACAGATGCATCCGCGGGGGATTAACTCGGTATACATATCCGCTTGTGTCGTAAGTTATAATATGGCCTTGGTGGGAGATAAACATGTTAGGATAGGTACTTGCTTGCCGAAAGATCTTGAAAATATTGAGAGATAAAGTGATTAGATAAGATTAGATACCAGGGAATTAAAATTATTTCTATATACTTACATCACTATTAATTCAAGGAATTATCGTAATTAAATTTGTAGAAATTGCAATCGTAAGAAATTTTATCGAATGTTTGTTTAAAACTGTCATAGCGATTTTCTCATTTAGGGGAGACTCGGCCCATATGCCATACATTTTTTATATTGTTCAAAATTGCAATAATATATAGGGTGTTCCATTTAAAATAAGCAAGTTGATGGCGACTTCCGGTATAATCGGAAGTGGTGCGTGGACGCCATTATTTTAGTTGAGAAGGGCATGCCCGAAAACCCAGTATCCCAAATTTTTAAAATTCAAATCGAAGTAGTCGCTGAAATAATTCTAATGGGCCGTCACCATGAGGCACCCTGTATAATGTCATCCATTTCCAATGGAAGACAAGAAACAACGGGCTTTTGTGTAGAAACTGTCGCGAGACATCAGAATTTATTGAGATACAGTATAGGAACATGTCTTGCGGCAACTGTAGACAGGTCAAGACATGTCGCTCAACTTTGTATACGATATAACGTTTAATAAATGTAAATATTTATCAGGTGTGACTTTTATTCCTGTGTGAAGTCTAACTCTATCTAGAACCCTGGACATATCGTGTCTTCACTGTCGCTGCCTGATTAGTGGTGTTTCTGCACGGTAAACTGGTGCTCGAGGTAACCGCCGCGTGTCGTCCCTCAGGCGTCATAGTTGGCAGAATAACGCCAATTTACAGAAAATTGCTATGTTTGGCATAATGACGATTAAATGCTTATCGACATAAGAATTTTTTGAGTGATAGAATATTAATACTTAGTTCTTTATCTTTATGCTTGTGATTAGAATGAGGGGTAGAGATATTACTGTTAGAGGTGAGGGTACAAGTATTTGATATTTTTCAAGTGATTCTTTTCATAAAATAAACACAACGAAATTTTATGAAATAAATTTATTTTACAAGTCTCAGGCACGTTAGAACAGAAAAGAAATAAATAAAATACAAACAGCCCATGCAAATTGGTGTTTAGTAGAAATAATTTTATTTCTTGTTTTGGGAATGATCTTAGAGATATAGATAAATATGTAGTGCAACGTCTTTAATTTTTATCTCACTTTCATATCTGAGTGGTTAAGATATTGAATAATTTTGTTATTCATTTTGGTAAGGCTTTAAGTAATTATGAATCTGAATTATGAAAACTAATAGTTATATTACTTAATATAGAAAATTTACAGTTGTAGTTTTTCTGCCTCAATGGTTGTGTCATTTAAGAAACTCAAACATTTGGAATAGTGTGTTCCTTATTACGAGTAAATAAGATTAAAAAGAATTTGTCCTTTGGAAATTATTACATTAATAGAATTTTATTGAGTTGATTTCAAATCCAAGATTTGCAATGGGGATGGTTGAAATGTGCTTCTGAAGAAAGTTTATAGGGAGAGTTAAGAATTATAATTATTTCTTCTAGTAACGCAGCTTTGCGTGGACCACAATATAAATAAATAACTACACTTGGAAAAAGAGAAATTTAACTATATAATACTATATAGAAAAGAATTCATAGAGGAAGTTACATTGAAACACCGAAAAGTGTAATTCAGGAGGAATTGCTACTTTTTCAGGAGAGAATCGATTAAACATAAATTAAGTACATTTCTTGACAAAACAGGATGTAAGTGTAATTGACATCAAAACTTACGACTTTTAATGAGTGTTGTCTAAATTTTGAGAGATATTTTCGAATGGATGGATTTCTGAACGGCAAAAACTACCGTTTCAAAATACGAATATATAAAATTTTTTTGAAAAAAGATTTCAGCTTTTTTCTAATATTTAAGAAGTTATATCAAAAACCTTCATACAAAGAAGACACTAAAAATTTTACATTCGATTTATTAATGAAACTGTCGACCTGCGAAAGAAAACACTTAACATTTTTGATAAACTTTTCAATAAAGTTAATACAATTTACAAATAACAGTATTCTAGACGAAGAAGTGAAAAAACATATAGGAAATCAGCCAGGTTAACTTTAGAAAGGATCGAAATTACCGAACATTTAGCTATTTTTCACTGCTTCGTATATAAAAATTACTTTTTAGTTGAACACATTTTCAGCAAAAACACCCATACAAAGAATGTGACCAACTAAAAAATGGACCCTTGTTCATGTTACACATACACATAGTTTACAACAAAATAGATTGTCTTTTATATTCACAGGTCCGAAGAATGATTTTTTTTCCACACTTACTCAAAGGTGAGGATATAAGCCAAAATAAAAAAATTGTCGTCTGTACTTAAAATGGTAGATCATTTTATTTGTTATAAAAATATTGTGCTGCATAACTTGTGACAAATTAAACTGTTGAGCAACATCTTGTAGATAAAATTTTTTTCGTTCTTTATTGTAAATAACAACATATAGAGTATATCGTAAATATTAATATCTTAAAAAAAAGATAAAGTATAACCACAAGTTTTGAAGACTTAAAACACCAAAAATATATTGCGAATAACACTAACTATTACTAAATTTAAATCAATATCACAAAAAATAAACAAAAAGAAAACATAAAATTTGGTGTACAAGCCTTAAAACGTATTGTTAAACGTTGGAAAAATAAATAGTAAAACAGAAGTAGTTGTGTCTATAAATAAAAAGGAACTTGTCACCTTACTTTTTCTTTTGTAACAACTGTGGGCAGCCCTCAAAATCGATGTTGAACATATTTATTTAAACAACATTTTTAATTTTTATATACATTTTCAAAATATATTTATACTTGTTGTATTCCAGGTGCTTAAACTTATTTCCCACTGGGTGGTAGCCCAGTCTGCTTATTGGTCCTGCAAATAAAAAACCTTAAATAAATTCGTTGAACTGCATTCGAATTAAACTTTCATATAACATTTCAAAATATCAATATTAACAGAGTTACATAACGTAATATTTCGCCCCGACATTTTTCAAAAGTATTTTTTAAGTTGCAGTTTTTCTATCAACACGACACAGAATCCAAAAATGTAATAAACATTTTTCAACTGACATTTCTTCGAAAATTCTAAATAATGTAAATGAAAGAAACCTTTGAATTTAGATTAACTCGAGTTTCCAAAAGGCAGACAGTTTTGACAGCTTGTGTTCTCGATCGCACTAAATGACGTCACTGCGCTCTTGATCACCTGACAAAATTAAAAATCTTACATAATTTTAAACGTCTACAAATAATTTGTAAGTGGTAAATAAACTATTTTCGTTGCTATCTATTACAGAATACAAACGTTTGCAGTTCTAAACAAAATTAAGTTTGCAATCACTATTAGGTACACAGTATACTATTCGCCAGGTGTGTGTAATAAACAGAAACATAAAAATTGTACAGTTTGAAAACCGTATTTAACATAGAGAACATTGTGAAATTAGTCCATATTAGAGCTTAAGAGTGCAAATAACTCTTACGATAGTAATTTAAGATTCTTTAGATTTTCTAGAAACGTAAACAGGCACATAATCTATATAAGGTGTAACTTTAAGTGGGGGTCAGTTTTTAAGGGGTAATAGTACGTGTTCTTCTAAATACGAATCTATTCTTTTTTTAATCAAATAAATAGTTAATTTTTTAAACGCTACTGGTCGCCTTAACCGGAGCAGACAGAATATTAAGTTGCATTTTTGCCCTATCAGCATTGCCAGTTGTTTTTATAAGTGTTATTTTACATAAATTAATAAAATCAACTAGAAAGGTCGGCAAACTCCGCTGACGCAGAGTTGACCTTTCTCTCGGGCCTTCAGCCCTCGGGACGCGCTGGGCGGTGCCTTCCTCGCCGATTGGAAATTTTCTTGAAACACCCTGTATATAAAAGTCATCAATATCGTAACTTCATAATTATCTCTGGAGTTCGAAGTTCAACGCAATATTTTTAGACATCCCGTGTACCAAAATTTGAAAAGTTATATTTTCTTCTTATGGAAAGAATTAAAAAGAAAACTCCATAATGAAGTAAAAAAAAAATTCTTAGGGATCCCGTGCAAGAATCGAAGCGTCGACCTCCGGGTAAATCGCCGTACTTGCGCCGCGGGGAACGTCGCAAAATTCAGTATTGACAATTCTGACGTTTCTACCGCTACCGTTTTCTACCGATGACAGTTTGTATCAACATTCTTAATTTCGTCTTAAATTTTGTTACATTTGACATATTAAAAGTTGAGGGCGATATAGATGAGAGAACGATGCGACGCGACACCGGAAAGGCGTTCCGGTAGCGTATAGAGGAGCGGCCCGTACGCAAAGAGAAAAGTTCTCGCTCTCTCTCGGAACAAAACGCGAGTGCCGGCAGTATCCATAAAGAAAAATATGACGCCGCGAAAATTGCGTTCTGGGCGAAATAATCGGGGCTTTACGAAAATATTGGGGTTCAGCGAGAGAGATGCAAGATGCAGAACCTTTTAAAGGGCGCCATATTTTTTAAATAGTGTTTTCCACAAAGACAAATAATTTCAAACATCTAATAACTGAATAATCTAAAGTTTATCAAATAATAGGAATGTTATGTCATCTGAGCATTTTCAAAGACGCCGCAGTAAAACGAATAAACAGGTGCAAAAACGATCAAACCATGAAGGTTTTAGGTACTGAAATCTATGAAAATACTAACTTTTTTATATACAATCCACATTCTTATAACATTTACGTGCTTAGTCCTACATATAAAATTGTTTACTTATATTTATAAGTACGTGAAAATAATTCTTAAAATGAGGGGNCGATGACAGTTTGTATCAACATTCTTAATTTCGTCTTAAATTTTGTTACATTTGACATATTAAAAGTTGAGGGCGATATAGATGAGAGAACGATGCGACGCGACACCGGAAAGGCGTTCCGGTAGCGTATAGAGGAGCGGCCCGTACGCAAAGAGAAATGAGGGGATGAAACGCATGATTCACAAACGCTTTTTTTAGTTATTATTTTATTTGAGTAAGTTTAAATAGTAACAATGAATAAACAGAACACCAAGGATTTTATTTGTGTGCTTACTTTGTTCTACATGTTTTACTTTTCAAGATTTCAGTACCTAAAAACGCCAGAAATTTGATAGTCCAGTCATTCTGTATATTTGGAAAAGAAAGTGAACCGGGAAAGCCAAATTTTTTATATGTTGTGGGGGGTGCTTAGAAAAGCTTAACTTGAGATTTGAGACTAAGATTTCCTATGTGCATTTTTCGTCATCTTGGAAAAAGGGATGAATTTTTGTGTTTGTTATAACTCGGTTCTCTGTCAAGATACAGAATTGTTGTTTTGTTGTTTTTTGTTCCTCTTTCGACGATCTACAATTTAGGTCCTATAAACTTTTCACCTATTATTGTTAGTTGTTGAGATATCGAACTAAATAGATAAAAAACAAGAACAAAGACAACTTTATAAAAATGCTTCGCCTTCATTTTGTACAAACCGAAATCAGAGTCGAACAAGCCATTGAAGATGCGGACACTCTGATCGTAACCACCGCACTCGCAGAAGCATCAAAGGACGATTCGGTTGAAATCATCGGCGAAGTCATCGATCTCTTGATTTTGCTCACTAGACTAGCGAAAGACAAAAGAAATGTATACTTTCGAAAATCGGGAAAAGGAAATACACCAGGAACACTTTACTCTCCAACTAGTATGAAGCATAATAAATCCGTTCTCGTAAACATATCTTTCATTCATGCATTCAGCGGTTGCGATACCTCCTCATCTTTGTTCAGCATTGGCAAATCGAAATTCATCAGCATATTGGAAAAAACATACGGAACTCCTATCATCGGTTGATTTATTCAAACGAGAACATGTCGATCCGGAGGATCTGACATCCACGGGAGAACGATTTCTCATTGCCCTATATGGTGGTGAGAAGCACAGCAAAAACATCAATGCGCTATGATATCAACGCTACGCACAATCTATCACCAGAAATAGATTCAACCTATCATCACTCCCTCACTTCCACCAACAAGGAGCGTAGCACGACTACACATATTCCGCACGTATCATCAGGTACAAATTTGGCTTGGGTTTTACAAGTATCCGGAGAAATGGTGTTGACGACCAACGGACCATGGTTTAGAGCCGATTATTAATACGGTTGAACCTGCGCCACCCGAGCTTTTGAAGCTAATGTCCTGCCTATGCAAGGAAAAATGTGGAACTGCTTGTGGGTGCAGAAGAGGTGGCATTGCATGTTGAATCATTTTCCTGAACTGCAGTGGACAAACATGCAAAAACGTTGTCAAAGTCGATGTCCTGATCTGTGACAACGAATTAGATTCAACAGTCGGAGAAAATATGGTCGAAGAATCTCCACGTATTGAAAAGTATCCTCAACAGAGGGACTGTGAACCAGGCCCGTCGAAGCGAAGTAAGACGTAGATACTTCTTCAATACGAAAACATTCTTATATAATAAATTTCATACGTGTGAAACATAATCTCAGTGTTAGTTCTTTATTTCGAATCCATTAGAACGTACCTATAAAACTACGCGAGCTATAAAATAAAAACTTCGCACGGACTTGTCGACTTCGCGACACGATTGAACCCGCAATTATTACCCTAGAGAAAGAACAAAAGTATTAAACTGTTCGCACAAATATCCTCTACAAGTTTGATAATGCGCGTTTTTTCGATAAGTATTAAGGAAAAAGAGAAAACCCCGAAAAACCAGATCGAGTTTTTGAATTTTTATCTATTTTGATATACTTATATCAACGAGTAATAATGATAGGTGAAAAGTTTATAGGACTTAAATTGTAGATCGTCGGAAGAGAAACAAAAAATAACAAAACAACAAATCTCTATCTCTACGGTGAACCGAGTTGTCGCGAAAACCATAGTTTACCGCTTTCTTCAAGTTGGCGGCACGCGGACGGAAAAATCGAAACTTCGCACGGACTTGCCGACTTCGCGTCGCGATAAAACACGCAATTATCACCCTAGAGAAAAAACAAAGAACCAAATTGTTTGTACAAACACCCCCTACAAGTTTTAAAATAGACATGTTTTCGATAAGTATTAAGGAAAAAGAGAAAAACCCGAAAAACCAGATCGAATCTTTGAATTTTTATCTAATTTGTTCGATATCTCAACAACTAACAATAATAGGTGCAAAGTTTATAAGACCTAAATTGTAGGTCGTCGAAAGAGGAACAAAAAACAATAAAACAATAATTCTGTATCACGATGGAGAACCGAGTTACAGCAAAAACAAAAATTCACCCCTTTTTCCAAAATGGTGGAAAATGCACATAGGAAATCTTGGTCTCAAATCGCAAGTTAAGCTTTTCTAAGCACCCCCCCACCACAACATATAAAAAATTTGGCTTTCCCGGTTCACTTTATTTTCTTCCCCTTATTTTTGGACAGAATGACTGGAGTATGACTATTTCTCGGTCAGGGATATGGCCACCTTAAAGAGCAAATTTCGGCGTTAAAAAGTAAAAAATATTCTTCGAAAACGTCCCGTGGAGACGAAGAAAGGACGAAATTCGCGCGTAGAGCTGAGTACACCCTCGATGGGTCCTTGGAAAAAGCATGTAGCATTTCTGGGTTCTGTCTCTCCCCCACAGCGAAAATTTGCGTTTTTGGCCGCGGAGCCCCCGGAAAAGTGAAATTTCATTTGGAAGACGTTAAGAAATCGTCTTCAAAATATGCCAAACGGATAAAATGTTAATTTTATAGCTACATACCGGTAATTTTTTATTTTAAAGTCAGTATGGTATGAATTGTTAGCTGTTTTTTAGCATTAACTACGCTCGACATAATTACAGACAATTATGCATCAAAAGATAACTAAAATCGTAAAAGAAATCGTTCGATTACTTACAGGGACTGACGCGGCGCCAATGGCTAGCGGACCGATTGTGATAAATTTGGTTTTTTAGGTAACGTTTCGAAGTCCAATAACTTTAGTACAAAATATGATATTGCAACTTTACATGAGCATTTTTTGAAGCTTGAAAGCTGTACTTTAAGTTGGTCCATTTTGTTTTATTTAAAATGTTGAATTTATAATAAAATATAAGGAAAACAAAAAAAAATGTTCTAAAACGATGAAATTTGTTGCTAAATAAACTTTAATAAAGTTAAAAAAAAATTGTTGCTTGTTTAACCAATATATTTTCAAACTGTGATCTTAAAAAAGTATAATCAACGAAAAAATACATTTTTTATTGTTTAAACAATTAAATAATAATTAACGTACAAATATAAGTTTATAATTACTTTCTATACGTCATATCAAAGTGACTGCAAAAGGTTTAATGAAAATCCAAGGCTCTGCTAATTATTTAGAAATAATGCATATTGTTAAGCTACCTTTACTCCACTAAAATAACAATTTGTAATATTGATCAAATTTTTACATTTTTCGTATGGGATTGTTACAATATTTTCTCATACACTTGATTTCAAACGAAATCGCATCGTCCTTAAATTGTGCTCTATTCGCGAATGCAGCTAAGAGCTCGCCCTCTGGCGGTGACAAGTGATACTAGCGAAACAAGGTAAACATTTCTTCTGTGTGTGACAATTCGTTTTGTATTTTATTTAAAATCGTGTTTAGTGTTCGTTTTTTGAACTCTTATTCTAAGAAAATACTGTGAGAAAAATTTCAGCAATTATGGATAGAAAGAGGAAACTGTCAAACTATTATTGTTCAGTTCAAGGTTGTTCTTCATGGTCCAAGAAAAATCCAGAATTAAGTTTTCATCAAACCATTGAAGAAATTTACAAAATAGTATTGCCGATAGATAATACTCCCTGAATTTCATGAGGGTTGTTAGTAAGTAAGGGCACTAGTTTGCAGACATAATATAAATTTCTAAATTTAATTTAACTTTGCCCAATTTTCCCATATAGTACCACATGATCAGCGTTAAAAACTGCCTCTCCTTTTGATATACAATGAGAGTTTTCGTTGGCATATATGTAAATAGGAAATGTATTTCACAACGGATAAGTTCATAGTTATAACCTAATAAAATGTACATTAAATTGTAATGCTAGAGACAAATAAAGTAGACATAAATACTTGCCTTAAAACTTATTTATGAAATATTTGAAACCTATAAAATAACACAAAAGTCAAATAACCGCAATTTGATAACAAAATTACTAATAATAATGGCAAATAAGACAAATGTTATTCAAATGTATATGTAAACACAAACGGCAATGTCAAAATTACCTTGTCTCGGAGCTTACTGCTTTCGCCGCTTGGTGCGCTTGCATCTTAAAAATTAACGCGGATAAACTTATTTATTAATTTTTATATGTGTTTCCTATGTGAAATTAAACAAGATAAGAACTAATCAAAATAAAATTAGGCACAACATAAATGATTTATAAGAAAATATAAGAAAAATCGACTCACTTAGATTTTCGGCCTTTATGAGATCTATTTTCTGAAGTTTGACTAAAATTGGACTTGTTGACTGGAGTGTTTTGTGATCTGTAGACAGCAGGCTGTCCTCTGCCTGCAATAAGCCTGGGGTCCGCTGAAAAAAGTGACAATGAATCAAATAAAGTCAACATTATACAGTTCAGAAAATGCGTACTTACTTGGTACAACACAAGGCATCCCCTGATATAAATTTGGAGGCAAAGACATCCTTTGTCTTTCATAATGTGTTATGTCACTGGCTGGAGTGGGAGATCGGCTGCTTCTAGATGTTCCAGGGGTATTTGCCGCAACATTACTTATCTGAAAAAAAGGCAAATAATGCTAACATGTACCAAAGTGCTACAAGTTTAATTTTTATACAAACCTGTCTGAACATTACTGGAGGTACATTAAAATTAGGTGGAAAACCGAACTGCTGGGTCGGCGGTGTCTCAGGTGGAGTCCTGTACACACCAGGTGCATTTTGAGGTGGGCAGTAACCGGCTATCACCGTAGCAGCGGGCGAGTTCGTGCCGGTACTACTCTGACTTGAACCCATCATGAAATTCTTTTGGCCTGTAAATTTATTCCCTTTGAGGCTACCGTTGCTCTTTTGACGAAAATCAAACTGCGGTGGACCTACATTAAAACGAAAATAAAGACTCTTGAACTCGTCCAATTGCATACATTATACCTTTGTTGGTAATATAGCTGGGAGGAGCCTGCATACCACCTCCCAAGCTCAACTGGTGCATGCTTTGGGTTAAGTGTACGAAATTTTGCGTATCTGGTGCGGGCCCGGACAATGGAAACGGAGGTCCCGAACTTGACGATGTACAACTGTTTGGAGTAGGCGTTCCCTGCGGGTAGGGAGGCACGTTTTGGGGCAAATGTTGTGGGGTCATTTGTGGGGGAGGATAGTTGGGGGCAGGATACATGGTGTTGTGAGAATAGATAAGAGGAGGCGGTTGGTTTTGATACAAGATCTGATTTGAAGGCGTAGGCTGGTTTTGGTAGACAACTTGTATGGGTTGGTTTGGAAAAACCATGTCCGGATTGTGAGGAGGTTGGGTGGCGGGAGGTAGGTAGTTTGTGGGATAACCTGATGGTACAAATCCTGGAAAAAAATCACTGGATAAAATCACAAATGCAATAATTATGGTAAATTGTTGCTAAATCAAGAGATGCATATCACAAAGATAAATCTATTGCTACACCAATAAAAAATGAATATTGTAATTATTATAGTTGAATTAATTTTTAAATTTTATTTATATAGTTTAAACGAGAGAGGGTATAGATAAAAGTGAGAGAGAACTTCAAGTATTTCGTACTGAAGTTTTCTCTACTGAAGTACTTGACTGTACCTTGTTGAGAGGGACCAGTAGAGAACCTTTGGGCTGGAGGATTTGCCTGAGGGTTATTTTGATAAAAAGCCACTGGCTGGTTCCAGTATGATCCAGCTTGAGGATGTTGATAAGCAATAGGTTGGGTTTGAGGTACACCAGTACTATCAGGGATGTAGTAGGTGTTTGCAATATCTGGCATTTGTGGAGGAACTTCCTGTAACAGATTAAGAATCATATGCTCCATATTTTGTTAGTTCTATATAAGGCTAAAAGTCATTTTAAACTTTTAAAAACTTTTTCGTTGTTTGAAATAATCAATCAACAACTGATAATTTTTATTTCGCTTTTATTTTTTTAATTAAAATGGAAATAGTACTCTTCTGCTCCTTTTAAACTAAGAACATTATCAATACACTGTTTTACTAGTACCTCAAATATGTAAATGTTTTTTAACTGACAATTTTTCGGGAAACAACTACTCTGCGGACTAATGCCCCGACCAGCATTGACTTATATTGGGCATATCTAATAAGCGTCAGGATATACGTCAACACATACACCGGTTTCGAACTTACTAGTGTTCATCAATATGGATGGTCTTACCTTTTTACTACATAGACATTACGGGTATAATTCAAAGCTGATCGGGAATTTGTCCAAAGAGTAGATAACCATCAATTAAAATTTATTTCACTTTGTGGCATCGTAGGTCTTAGTTTGACAGTACCTGCAAAACAGCAGGTCGCTCTCTGCCAGTTTAGGTATTGAGCAGAAGTGATCATTCATAGATACCACTTTGTTATATCTTATCTTACCTGTGTATTCGTATTAGCTATAGCGCCCATCACGACAGAAAGACGTTCACTTTTAGTTTTACTTATCGTCAATATAAAACTGATATGTGCCACGGTCAATATAACTACATACATAATTGATACGACAAAAAAGTGTTTTAATATTTGAGTTCAAAAAGTTACGGTTAAAACGGTTACAGTTACGCTTAAGAAAAATAAAGTTTTTGACCAACAATCAAAGATAAGGATACATTTTTCTTCAATATGTTCGCAATCAAATTATGCAATTTGGGTCTAATTGATCGACCTTGTATCCTACCAAAATCCCCTTTGATGCGGTTCGAAAAAGAGACACCCGGTACATTTGGTCGGACAATTGACACCCACGAGTAAATTTAAATATATTTTAATCACCGTTGAAAAATTCACTTTGCGATTTATTTCTTTATGAGAATTTTATGAGCTCACCTCGTTATCATTAGATAATTTACATTAGTTAAATGGGTTTTTTCAGCCCCAGTTTATATTAGGACAATTACTTCGTGATTATCATCATGGGTCAAAATAAAAATATTTGTAAATTTTGAAACGTTTCAAAAGATAAATATAATGATAATGATAGTAGACACTAAAATGTCTTACTATGACCTACCGATAACATGTAAAATAAATTTAAATCCAATATTTTTTAAATACATTCGACTTTAATTATTCAAATTTCTTTAATGAACTTCTTTTAAACATTTATCAGATCTGATCAAAGTTTTTTAAATTATCTAACCAATCGATTCAAACATAAGCAATACGCGGACCTAAATATTTATATTCTACTTACATTTCGATGACCGAAAACGACCTTCATTTGAAACGAACTACACAATTACTGATAGGATAAGTTATCAATTTTCAGCCCTACTGGTTTCAACAATTACCCTCTCCTACAGGGGACGTTCGGTTGGCCGTCGTATGTTTCTAGGTATCTGTTATTACTATATAGGGTCATTTAAGTACTTATATCTGGTAAGCCTCTGACATGCTATTTTAGATGGGCAGGTAAAAGAGTACCTATTTTACATAACCATTTAATAGGGAGTTTCACCGTAACACATGCACCCACTGTCAGAAAATTATAAACTATGAAATAGGTAGTAAATATTTCTGTTAAAACAAATTGTGTAACACTGCATTACATAATTTAATCTAATTAATTTTGTATTAAATCAACATACACCTAATGTAGATGTTTGAGTAAAACATTTGAGAAAATGATAAAAAATATGTCCCCAATTTATTTTTTACTACTTAGGTAATTACTAACAGGGTCGTAGTCCCGAAGAAACTCGGGGTGAAAGATTTTAGGTATTTGACAGATATAGGTGGTGACCATAGTGACCGGTAGACACAGTCACAGAAGACATTTTGCTAGACATTGTAAAAATTTTGTTAAGTAAGACACTCTTTGCTTTACCCTTCCCCTGTGTGGCTACGGCCTTGACGAGTAATAATCGAATTCTAATAATAAACCTAAACAAAAACTTGACTTTTTGAATTGATTTATAGTTATAAAAATTTTCCCAAATGCAAACTCACCTAAATTTATTTTATAGTAGGTAAAGGTAAACGTCTTGTTATAAAGACCTGTTAGAGAGTCATAAAAGTATTAACAAAACCTTAATTCCATTTTTGAAGGATCCGACTATAAACTGAAAGGATTTTATTATATACTTGCATCTGTTCAACTTTAAACTAACGAGCGTTCAAATAACAACGTGGTCAAGTTGGTTCTGAAAATTTGGACGTAGGGCGTAGCGTATAGCAAATGAACTTAAACGTCATCTGTCAAAGCGCTATATCGCCGTTATCAATTTGAATATTTTCGTTTTAAAAAGCGTTTAAAATGGTGTTTTCTCAAGAACAAAAAGTGTTTATCATAGAGTCCTACTTTAGAAATGGACGCAAGATNGTTTAGTCCATGTCGTTAGAAATATCAGCTGGAATGGAATTAATGTCAATGTTATAATTTAAAAATATTCAAGACTAGTTTTTTCTCCTTCCTATTTGACGACTTATGAATTTTTTTCTGGACCTCGTTAAAAATTTTCAAAAGTATCCGGACCCCACCTAAAATTACTTGCCGACCCCTGGGCTAGATCATCAGACTTGAAAATACAGGGTGTTCACAAATTTCACCGACAACGTTTGACTGCATATTCAGGCCGATAAATAAAATCGATCGACGAAATAAAGTTAAATAAAACATTTTCGTTTTTTAGTTACAAACTTTCAAAGTTGTCAAAAATAAAACTAATTTAATTAATAACTTCATAACCTTTTTGCCGATCGCGTTAAAATTTGGCACATTTATTTGGACTATTATGGCGTATTATTTCTTAAAGCTTTAGTCAAATCGATATACTGGGTGATAGTTTTCTTCGGTTACCTTTCTCTTTTAGAGGTTAAAATTTTTACAGTGGTCATATTGTTTTAAAACAGCAACATTAAATAGGTTGTTTTATTAAAAAAACATTGTCTCCGCAGAAAATCGCCTACAGAAAGCCATTCTTGAGAAAACCGGCGTTTTTTGCAGGCTGTATGTTTCGGTTTGCGTAGCAATGTCACGGATTTAAAACTTTGAGTTCAGTAGGCAATGAAAACAAGATGTTGAATACTGTGGCTATCAGGTAATGTCATTGTGGTTGTGTTTCTTTAGGATTCTCATCACTCCACATATGCAAATTATGAGAATTTACAACTCCGTTCCTTGTAAAACAAAATTTGTCGGTACAAAACTATTTTTGAAGCAAATTATTATCTTCTGCGAAGCCATACTAATCAGTAGCAAAATTGTAAACGTGCGTTGAGATCTAAATTTTCAGGTTCTTGAGCAGGAGTTAAATGAAATGTCCGAAGTTTTGTGAACATTAGTTTTACATACATTTAATTGTCTTGATACACTGTGGACACTTCATAATAATAATAATAATTTTATTTTATTCAACTTTTTTTCGTAGATCGTATTTATTTATCGTTGTGAATATGCAGTCAAACGATGTCGGTGAAATTTACGGACACCCTGTATATTATTACAGTTTTATATAATTTTAAATATTATTCAAACAATAAAAAAAATAAAGATAGAGAAGTTGTCCATTCTCAAAAGAAAAGTCAATGTTGTTGCAGCAAGAAATTTCAGAGAGATTAAAGGGTTTATGGTTACAGTCCGTATGATATTTGTTGAGATATAATTCCAAGACTCCTGCATTAGTTTCTTGGAATTAAGCTCATTCGACACTCGAGGTAGAAAGACATTGGCGGCATGGCGTTCACAGTAGCAGCTTGCAGTGCATACTATGTTTTGCAGTTACGAAGGCTTGTTTCTTCGGTTCTTCTGGAATTCTATCTCAACAAATATTGTATGGACTACTTTGAATTACTAGTCGGATCTCAAAAAAGTAGAATGTTCCGAATTTGACTAAATTATATTTAAAAGCATGTAAAACAGATGAGAGTAGTACCTATGCTCTATTGACTTATTTTTGCTGGAAGAATTACTTAGAATATCTCAACACCTTGTATATGAAATAAGCTCTGTGGATTACTACATATAGGGTGTTTGGTAAGTCGATGCATTCCTTGCAGGAGGTTATAGTACAAGTGATTTGTGATATACTTCCTTAATATACCATACTCCGAAAACGCTTAGTTTCTGATCTACAACATGATAAAGTTTTAATAAAAAAATGCTCAAATTTATAAATATGGTGGAAACCGCTCAGAATATTTTAATGAACTTTTACAAGCTTTGACAATTAAGAACAATACTCGGTCGAACAATCCGGTTTCAATAAATTGAAAAATAGTAGAAATTATGCACTCAGCTTTTTTTTTACCAATTTTATTACAAAAAATTATTATTCCTCGCAGTTAACAGCATCAGTCTAAAAAAATTGTTTTTAGATTTACTATTCAATATCTAAACAGAAATTAACAAGTTGGCTGTGCACTCGTTTTTGTTATTGTTTGACAAAATTAATAATAGCTGTCATTTTGAATGTTGAATGTGAAGCAGTTAAGTGCATAATTTCTGCTATTTTTCAGATTATTGAAACTGAATTACGCCATGCAATAAATCGATTTTATATTTTTTACTCGAAAACAGTGCGTCATAAGAAAAACAGTCGAGATACCTTTTCTCTTCCAAATTGAACAAGGAATTCAAAAATAATTTTTATTTTAAGAAAAATCAGTGCTGTATAATTTTTTTCTTTAACAATATCTGGAGACATGCCTGTGCGCACGCCACTGGTGAAACTGAAAACAATATTTTTATCGTAAAACATGTATTGTTGTTAACTGCCAAAGCCTGTACAATTTCATTAAAATATTCTGAGCGGTTTCCCCAATATTTATAAATTTGCATTTTTTATTAAAACTTTAACAATCTGTAGATCGGAAACTAAGCGTTTTCGGAAAAAAGGTATATTAAGGAAATATATCACAAATCGCTTGTACCTCCTGCAAGGAATGCATCAATTTACCAAACACCCTATATAGAGAAATAAAAAAATATGTGAATTGAACAATATAACATTACCAAAAACATGACTTTTTACACAGTCAAAGAAATTGATAAATTTTTTGATCTTGAATTAATTGTTATGTGTAATACACAAAATTGTCCTCAATTTGTTGTTGATCATAGGTTTATGAACAAATTGTGATAATAGAACTAGCTCTAATTGTTCAACAATTTTTTAATGAATTCTGGTTACATTTTGAATTACAGATATATAGCCACCTGTGTCTATGATAAAAATCATTAAATATGAATTAAATTGGTAGTAATTAGAACAAAAAATTGGACAGCGTCATACACTTTTTAATATTTTCAATAAATTCATGAATTTTTTTGACTGTGTTAAATGGTCAATAGAGAAATAAAAAAATGTATGTGAATTAAGTCAGGGAACACTATCCACAATAGGTGTGGCGTTAAAACAGTACTGTACTTCGCACAATGTGTCTAAAGGCGAATTTACACGATGCAATTTAGATGTACATCGTATCGAGGATGATTCATCAAAGATGAAACAATGTAAATAACGTTTCATCAACATTTCATCCAAGATAAACAATTCTGCCTTTTCACTATCGGCTTCACCTTAGACGAATCATCCTGGACGTACATCCAAATTGCATCGTGTAAATTCGCCTTAAAGTTAGAATTTGCCTAAAGTCAGCCACATACGGACGGATTTGATCAGTACGGATTCAACTCGCATATTAGCCTCATTAGATACTAAATGAGAAAGTACATTGGTTTTGTTTGTATGCTTCCGTGGCTGTCGTTAATGGTTGAATGATTTTCGGGCTGGTTGCCACGTTGTCGGTTTATAACACATGACGTTTCGAGAGACATATCGCTCTCTTCTTCAGAAATTACTCTCCTCAGAGTAACTTCTGAAGAAGAGAACGATATGTCTCTCGAAACGTCAAGTGTTATACACCGACAACGTGGCAACCAGCCCTGAGAAAGTACATATTTAATTTCCCAACTTGATCATCCCATAGACCCATACACTAAAATCTGAATGTGAGAGGTATATAAATTAGTATTAAGTCGGTTTTAACTTGACTTATGGCCTAAGAAAAGATTTTCTCTGAATTTGAGAGATGTTATTCAAAAATGGATATTTTTGTTTCCTATTCGCAGATTTATCTGTCGTATGACAAAATTGCTCGATGGAGCTCGTGGTTCAACTCGTCGTATGCACGGGAATTTTCATCGGCTGACTTGGCACGTGGAAGATCAAACTAACCTATTTATCCGACTTCGTACAGGCATTACGCCGACTACTTCTACTTATATTCCTGTTTTCTGTTTACTCCACCACATAGATATTTTTGCAGTTACTAGCAAGGTGGGATTAGATACACATGAATATATTTTTCCTTATCAAAATACTCACCATTCTGTTCTCGTACTGCTGCTGGACGTGGACACCGTACGACGGAGCCGTGTAGATGATGTAGGGCTGTTGGTACATCGTGCCATTGTCTGCCGCCGTAGGCGCAGCGAACGTCGAAGTATATCCAGAAAAATGCTGCTGGGGCAAGCTGACCACGTTCTCTGTTTGGACGTAGGAGAACGTCCTGTGGGGTACCGAGGTGGTCAGTAGAGGAGGGGAGAACGGTAAACTGGGGCTGGTCGAACTGTTCGTTAAGTTTGATTTCCTGGTGGGCGATGTCTTCGTCGAGGTGGATCGGTTGCGTTTCGGGGAGATGGAGGTGTTATCCTTGAAGCATTGTTTGTAAGGAGAAAGTGGAGGTTTAGCGGGAGCGGGAGCCATGCCGGGTGGAGGGTTATTCGGGTCATAGTGGTACACGGACCCGTCTTCGTTCTTCAGGGGTTTCCCCGTCTATAACAAATGACAAAACGTATTGTTCCGCAGTTTGTTGTTACACAAATATTTGAATCGTTTACGTTTAAGTGTCAAATAAAAGCATAGGCATTTTCTCTAGAAATACACCCTTATCTAAATATTCTCCCATAGCCAGGCTGCAATAAATGTTATAGAATTCAAATACTGTGTTCTAAACTTGTGCGGGATGGTTTGCAATTGCTGAATGAACTGGTAAGCACCAATACGGCAAGGTTATGTTGGACGGGCAATAAAGATATTGGAAGAAATGAAAAAAAAAACAGATGAACTTACAAAAAAGTTGTCCCAAGGTCGGAACCAGCGTCTAACATTCCTTACAGTGTTGAAAGACTGTGTGACATTGCGAATACTGGAACTCAAGACCAGGGCAAACATTGGAAGAGATTAAATTAATTGCTGGGTTATTATGAGTAAGATCAGACTCGGAGATATCAAGGGGATTTAACAGGATATTGTCGATTGAGGAAGCACCTCTATAACATGAAATTAGTAGTATCCAATTTGTCGGTGTTGCAACTGGGAGGATAAATCAGCGTTGCACATCTAAAGATAATGGGAAGGTTTTGCACGCTTGAGTTCAGAATATCTGGCAAATCCTTCTTACATGTGAGAGAAATATCAGGTAGCAGATTTTTGGACTTTGTACAAAGAACAAATCCACTAGACAAACAAAAGTTTACAGAAATGTAAGATGTCTGTAATTTGCATCTTAAATTTAAAATACAACAATTTGCAGTGTTCTCATATGGCTAAGAGGCCATATGAGGCCACTGCATAGTCACTCATAGTTTTTATCACATCAGATCAATCAGCGATTCATACCTAGCAGATCCAAGAACCAATGCATTTGATATTCTGTATATTAAATGACGATTTCATTGTTTGTAACTGCAACTTTACAACATTTTACAATTAAACAGTGCTATAACGGGGAATTTAATGTATTCTTCATTTTTTCAATTTCTTTTGAAATCAAAGTGCGACTGGAGACAATAACTAATAGCGCATTGAGTCGTCGGGTGACCCAGTCGAGTGGTGTGACGTCACAGATGCTCTGCGAACGCGAACGGCAAATATACGAATTAGAAATTAATTTACACGGTTAATATTAAAGCTATCGACATGACTTTTTCACAACATTTTTAGGGAGTTAAATGCTTACGGAAAATGCAGAAACAAGTTATACATTAAATATTACTGAATAATCCCATTAACAAACACGTTGCTTTCAAATTCCCAACTTCAATATTATAGTCAGTGACCACTAACCTGCGGGTTGATGATGATGCTTCCCTTGGGCACGTTGTGAATATCAGTGACGGCCCACACTATGTGACTGGAGGACGTTTCGCTTCTGTGCTCCTGGTTTTCGCTGCTGCCGTTCGAATTCTGTCTGGAATCGCTGATCGGGTGCGGAGTGGACGTGGGGGACGGCGTCACGGACTCGGACATTTGCGACTGAGATTTGTAGCCGGAACTGGACGGGCTCAGACGCCAGGATACCGAGCTGGCGGCGGAATCTGCAACGAAGGGGTTATGAAGAATAATTGGGAATGATCTGGTTCCTAAGACAACATAAGTGATAGATTCTTTGTGTGCAGACGTGACCGATCCCTACTTTAAATTTGAATTATTATTTTTTAAATGCTAATGATAAAGTTGTCGTTAATTGTAGATTTAATATATTTTTTGACTTTTGTAGCAGATATACATACACGAATACAGCGTATCCTAAGAGGAACTGCACATTAGGGAATACTCCCCAGGGAAAATTGCGAAAAAAAGTATAAAATTCGATCCGAAAATTTAAAGGACTTTAAAATTAAACATATATTTTTTAAATATTTAAAAGTTTAGTGATAGTTTCACAAAAATGTGTCATAGGAATTCCTACATTGAGCACAAAAAATGGTAATTAGTAATTCTACATTTCAAATGTTAGAGCATAACTTCTACGCTTTTGATTAATATTGAAAAAACAACATTATATAGCGCAAATAAATAAAAAATTAAAACTCTTAAATTTTGGTTGGCCATAAGGTTGCAAATACCTACTTTAACTTCTTAAAAACACTTTTTCTTAATAAAAAGTGTTATTATTTTTGTAAATCAAGCTATTAGTTAATTATTTGTAACCTATTAACTAATACTTCTTTGAAGAATATGGGATTTCTATTAAAAACATGCATTACTATGTAATTGATTCCTAAACCTACGAACATTTTTAATATTTCCCCCCCAAATATGCCGTTTTAACAAGATATAACGAGCGTTCAAATAAAAACGTGGTCAAGTTGGTTCTGAAAATTTGGACGTAGGGCGTAGCGTATAGCAAATGAACTTAAACGTCATCTGTCAAAGCGCNCAGCTGCTATACAGCTCGTTGAGAAATGAGGTTAAGTTGGTCGCTATAAGCTACTCCCTACGTCCAATGTGTCAGAGCCAACTTCGACCACGTTTTTATTTGAACGCTCGTTATAACAAAATTTTAAATAAATATAATAAATTGTACAAAAAAAGGTTTATGACAGATGCAGGATTCAACTATTTTTTGGTTATTTTCATTTGTTTTACACGTTTCTTGGTAGACGGATTTAGGCTAGATCATCAGACTTGAAAATACAGGGTGTTCACAAATTTCACCGACAACGTTTGCCTGCATATTCAGGCCGATAAATAAAATCGATCGACGAAATAAAGTTAAATAAAAAAATTTTGTTTTTGAGTTACAAACTCAAAGTTTTCAAAAATAAAACTAATTTAATTAATAACTTCATAACTTTTTTGCCGATCGCGTAAAAATTTGGCACATTTATTTGGACTATTAGTCAAATCGATCTACTGGGTGATAGTTTTCTCCCGTTACCTCTCCCTTTTAGAGGTCAAAACTTTTACAGTGGTTGTATTTTTTAAAACGGGCAGCATTGAAAAGGTCGTTTTATTAAAAAAAAAACATTGTCTCTTGAGAAAATCGCCTACAGAAAGCCATTTTTGGCGTTATTTGCAGGTTGTATATTTCGGTTTGCGTAGCAGTGTCACGGATTTTATACTTTGAGTTCAGTAGACGATGAAAACAAGATGTTGATTGTTGTGGCTATCAGGTAATGTCATTGTGGTTGTGTTTCTTTAGGATTCTCATCACTCCACACATGCAAATTATGAAAATTTACAACTCCGTTCCTTGTAAAACAAGATTTGTACAAAACTATTTTTGAAGAAAATTATTATCTTCTGTGAAGCCATACCAATCAGTGGCAAAATTGTAAATGTGCGTTGGGATCTAAATTTTCAGGTTCTTGAGCAGGAGTTAAATGATATGTCCGAAGTTTTGTGAACATTAGTTTTACATACATTTAATTGTCTTGATACACTGTGGACACTTCATAATTTAATTTTATTTAACTTTTTTTTCGTAGATCGCATTTATTTATCGTTGTGAATATGCAGTCAAGCGTTGTCGGTGAAATTTACGGACACACTGTATATTATTACAGTTTTATATAATTTTAAATATTATCCAAACAATTAAAAAAAATAATTTACGAGTTCAAAATTAAAAGATAAAACAGAGAAGTTGTCCATTCTCAAAAGAAAAGTCAATGTTGTTGCAGCAAGAAATTTCAGAGAGATTAAAGGGTTTATGGTTACAGTCCGTATGATATTTGTTGAGATATAATTCCAAGACTCCTGCATTAGTTTCTTGGAATTAAGCTCATTCGACACTCGAGGTAGAAAGACATTGGCGGCATGGCGTTCACAGTAGCAGCTTGCAGTGCATACTATGTTTTGCAGTTACGAAGGCTTGTTTCTTCGGTTCTTCTGGAATTCTATCTCAACAAATATTGTATGGACTACTTTGAATTACTAGTCGGATCTCAAAAAAGTAGAATGTTCCGAATTTGACTAAATTATATTTAAAAGCATGTAAAACAGATGAGAGTAGTACCTATGCTCTATTGACTTATTTTTGCTGGAAGAATTACTTAGAATATCTCAACACCTTGTATATGAAATAAGCTCTGTGGATTACTACATATAGGGTGTTTGGTAAGTCGATGCATTCCTTGCAGGAGGTTATAGTACAAGTGATTTGTGATATACTTCCTTAATATACCATACTCCGAAAACGCTTAGTTTCTGATCTACAACATGATAAAGTTTTAATAAAAAAATGCTCAAATTTATAAATATGGTGGAAACCGCTCAGAATATTTTAATGAACTTTTACAAGCTTTGACAATTAAGAACAATACTCGGTCGAACAATCCGGTTTCAATAAATTGAAAAATAGTAGAAATTATGCACTCAGCTTTTTTTTTACCAATTTTATTACAAAAAATTATTATTCCTCGCAGTTAACAGCATCAGTCTAAAAAAATTGTTTTTAGATTTACTATTCAATATCTAAACAGAAATTAACAAGTTGGCTGTGCACTCGTTTTTGTTATTGTTTGACAAAATTAATAATAGCTGTCATTTTGAATGTTGAATGTGAAGCAGTTAAGTGCATAATTTCTGCTATTTTTCAGATTATTGAAACTGAATTACGCCATGCAATAAATCGATTTTATATTTTTTACTCGAAAACAGTGCGTCATAAGAAAAACAGTCGAGATACCTTTTCTCTTCCAAATTGAACAAGGAATTCAAAAATAATTTTTATTTTAAGAAAAATCAGTGCTGTATAATTTTTTTCTTTAACAATATCTGGAGACATGCCTGTGCGCACGCCACTGGTGAAACTGAAAACAATATTTTTATCGTAAAACATGTATTGTTGTTAACTGCCAAAGCCTGTACAATTTCATTAAAATATTCTGAGCGGTTTCCCCAATATTTATAAATTTGCATTTTTTATTAAAACTTTAACAATCTGTAGATCGGAAACTAAGCGTTTTCGGAAAAAAGGTATATTAAGGAAATATATCACAAATCGCTTGTACCTCCTGCAAGGAATGCATCAATTTACCAAACACCCTATATAGAGAAATAAAAAAATATGTGAATTGAACAATATAACATTACCAAAAACATGACTTTTTACACAGTCAAAGAAATTGATAAATTTTTTGATCTTGAATTAATTGTTATGTGTAATACACAAAATTGTCCTCAATTTGTTGTTGATCATAGGTTTATGAACAAATTGTGATAATAGAACTAGCTCTAATTGTTCAACAATTTTTTAATGAATTCTGGTTACATTTTGAATTACAGATATATAGCCACCTGTGTCTATGATAAAAATCATTAAATATGAATTAAATTGGTAGTAATTAGAACAAAAAATTGGACAGCGTCATACACTTTTTAATATTTTCAATAAATTCATGAATTTTTTTGACTGTGTTAAATGGTCAATAGAGAAATAAAAAAATGTATGTGAATTAAGTCAGGGAACACTATCCACAATAGGTGTGGCGTTAAAACAGTACTGTACTTCGCACAATGTGTCTAAAGGCGAATTTACACGATGCAATTTAGATGTACATCGTATCGAGGATGATTCATCAAAGATGAAACAATGTAAATAACGTTTCATCAACATTTCATCCAAGATAAACAATTCTGCCTTTTCACTATCGGCTTCACCTTAGACGAATCATCCTGGACGTACATCCAAATTGCATCGTGTAAATTCGCCTTAAAGTTAGAATTTGCCTAAAGTCAGCCACATACGGACGGATTTGATCAGTACGGATTCAACTCGCATATTAGCCTCATTAGATACTAAATGAGAAAGTACATTGGTTTTGTTTGTATGCTTCCGTGGCTGTCGTTAATGGTTGAATGATTTTCGGGCTGGTTGCCACGTTGTCGGTTTATAACACATGACGTTTCGAGAGACATATCGCTCTCTTCTTCAGAAATTACTCTCCTCAGAGTAACTTCTGAAGAAGAGAACGATATGTCTCTCGAAACGTCAAGTGTTATACACCGACAACGTGGCAACCAGCCCTGAGAAAGTACATATTTAATTTCCCAACTTGATCATCCCATAGACCCATACACTAAAATCTGAATGTGAGAGGTATATAAATTAGTATTAAGTCGGTTTTAACTTGACTTATGGCCTAAGAAAAGATTTTCTCTGAATTTGAGAGATGTTATTCAAAAATGGATATTTTTGTTTCCTATTCGCAGATTTATCTGTCGTATGACAAAATTGCTCGATGGAGCTCGTGGTTCAACTCGTCGTATGCACGGGAATTTTCATCGGCTGACTTGGCACGTGGAAGATCAAACTAACCTATTTATCCGACTTCGTACAGGCATTACGCCGACTACTTCTACTTATATTCCTGTTTTCTGTTTACTCCACCACATAGATATTTTTGCAGTTACTAGCAAGGTGGGATTAGATACACATGAATATATTTTTCCTTATCAAAATACTCACCATTCTGTTCTCGTACTGCTGCTGGACGTGGACACCGTACGACGGAGCCGTGTAGATGATGTAGGGCTGTTGGTACATCGTGCCATTGTCTGCCGCCGTAGGCGCAGCGAACGTCGAAGTATATCCAGAAAAATGCTGCTGGGGCAAGCTGACCACGTTCTCTGTTTGGACGTAGGAGAACGTCCTGTGGGGTACCGAGGTGGTCAGTAGAGGAGGGGAGAACGGTAAACTGGGGCTGGTCGAACTGTTCGTTAAGTTTGATTTCCTGGTGGGCGATGTCTTCGTCGAGGTGGATCGGTTGCGTTTCGGGGAGATGGAGGTGTTATCCTTGAAGCATTGTTTGTAAGGAGAAAGTGGAGGTTTAGCGGGAGCGGGAGCCATGCCGGGTGGAGGGTTATTCGGGTCATAGTGGTACACGGACCCGTCTTCGTTCTTCAGGGGTTTCCCCGTCTATAACAAATGACAAAACGTATTGTTCCGCAGTTTGTTGTTACACAAATATTTGAATCGTTTACGTTTAAGTGTCAAATAAAAGCATAGGCATTTTCTCTAGAAATACACCCTTATCTAAATATTCTCCCATAGCCAGGCTGCAATAAATGTTATAGAATTCAAATACTGTGTTCTAAACTTGTGCGGGATGGTTTGCAATTGCTGAATGAACTGGTAAGCACCAATACGGCAAGGTTATGTTGGACGGGCAATAAAGATATTGGAAGAAATGAAAAAAAAAACAGATGAACTTACAAAAAAGTTGTCCCAAGGTCGGAACCAGCGTCTAACATTCCTTACAGTGTTGAAAGACTGTGTGACATTGCGAATACTGGAACTCAAGACCAGGGCAAACATTGGAAGAGATTAAATTAATTGCTGGGTTATTATGAGTAAGATCAGACTCGGAGATATCAAGGGGATTTAACAGGATATTGTCGATTGAGGAAGCACCTCTATAACATGAAATTAGTAGTATCCAATTTGTCGGTGTTGCAACTGGGAGGATAAATCAGCGTTGCACATCTAAAGATAATGGGAAGGTTTTGCACGCTTGAGTTCAGTACATTTGGAAAATCCTTCTTACATGTGAGAGAAATATCAGGTAGCAGATTTTTGGACTTTGTACAAAGAACAAATTCACTAGACAAACAAAAGTTTACAGAAATGTAAGATGTCTGTAATTTGCATCTTAAATTTAAAATACAACAATTTGCAGTGTTCTCATATGGCTAAGAGGCCATATGAGGCCACTGCATAGTCACTCATAGTTTTTATCACATCAGATCAATCAGCGATTCATACCTAGCAGATCCAAGAACCAATGCATTTGATATTCTGTATATTAAATGACGATTTCATTGTTTGTAACTGCAACTTTACAACATTTTACAATTAAACAGTGCTATAACGGGGAATTTAATGTATTCTTCATTTTTTCAATTTCTTTTGAAATCAAAGTGCGACTGGAGACAATAACTAATAGCGCATTGAGTCGTCGGGTGACCCAGTCGAGTGGTGTGACGTCACAGATGCTCTGCGAACGCGAACGGCAAATATACGAATTAGAAATTAATTTACACGGTTAATATTAAAGCTATCGACATGACTTTTTCACAACATTTTTAGGGAGTTAAATGCTTACGGAAAATGCAGAAACAAGTTATACATTAAATATTACTGAATAATCCCATTAACAAACACGTTGCTTTCAAATTCCCAACTTCAATATTATAGTCAGTGACCACTAACCTGCGGGTTGATGATGATGCTTCCCTTGGGCACGTTGTGAATATCAGTGACGGCCCACACTATGTGACTGGAGGACGTTTCGCTTCTGTGCTCCTGGTTTTCGCTGCTGCCGTTCGAATTCTGTCTGGAATCGCTGATCGGGTGCGGAGTGGACGTGGGGGACGGCGTCACGGACTCGGACATTTGCGACTGAGATTTGTAGCCGGAACTGGACGGGCTCAGACGCCAGGATACCGAGCTGGCGGCGGAATCTGCAACGAAGGGGTTATGAAGAATAATTGGGAATGATCTGGTTCCTAAGACAACATAAGTGATAGATTCTTTGTGTGCAGACGTGACCGATCCCTACTTTAAATTTGAATTATTATTTTTTAAATGCTAATGATAAAGTTGTCGTTAATTGTAGATTTAATATATTTTTTGACTTTTGTAGCAGATATACATACACGAATACAGCGTATCCTAAGAGGAACTGCACATTAGGGAATACTCCCCAGGGAAAATTGCGAAAAAAAGTATAAAATTCGATCCGAAAATTTAAAGGACTTTAAAATTAAACATATATTTTTTAAATATTTAAAAGTTTAGTGATAGTTTCACAAAAATGTGTCATAGGAATTCCTACATTGAGCACAAAAAATGGTAATTAGTAATTCTACATTTCAAATGTTAGAGCATAACTTCTACGCTTTTGATTAATATTGAAAAAACAACATTATATAGCGCAAATAAATAAAAAATTAAAACTCTTAAATTTTGGTTGGCCATAAGGTTGCAAATACCTACTTTAACTTCTTAAAAACACTTTTTCTTAATAAAAAGTGTTATTATTTTTGTAAATCAAGCTATTAGTTAATTATTTGTAACCTATTAACTAATACTTCTTTGAAGAATATGGGATTTCTATTAAAAACATGCATTACTATGTAATTGATTCCTAAACCTACGAACATTTTTAATATTTCCCCCCCAAATATGCCGTTTTAACAAGATATAACGAGCGTTCAAATAAAAACGTGGTCAAGTTGGTTCTGAAAATTTGGACGTAGGGCGTAGCGTATAGCAAATGAACTTAAACGTCATCTGTCAAAGCGCTATATCGCCGCTATCAATTTGAATATTTTCGTTTTAAAAAGCGTTTAAAATGGTGTTTTCTCAAGAACAAAAAGTGTTTATCATAGAGTCCTACTTTAGAAATGGACGCAAGATTGATGGAATATGGAAGTATTCTATTGAGGAATGTTTCATAGAATTTCAAAATCAATTTCCCGGCGTTGTTGAGTACAAAATTTTTCAAAGTGCAGTTCAGCGTTGTGTTAATGTTTTTCGTGAAACGGGCAGTGTAACAAGAAAAGAAGGAAGCGGCCGACCTAAAAAGCGGACTGAAGAATTAAAAGAAAATGTCCAACAAATAATGGAAAATGCGCCAAGAACTTCTGTACGTGTTTTATCACAAATGGTGGGAGTATCAGTCGGTACCTGCCACACAGTGTTAAAAAAAGATTTGCGTTTGTTCTCCTATCGTTTAACTTGTCAGCAAGAACTTCATGAAGTTGATTTTCCGCGACGGGCTGTATTTTGTGAATGGTTTTTAAACAACTACGGTGAACTTCATAATATCACCTTTTTTTCTGATGAAGCCTGGTTTCATTTAAGTGGTTACGTAAACTCACAGAATATGAGAATGTGGTCTTCTGAAAAACCAGATAACTTTTTTGTCGAGGGCCCTCTACACGCTCAAAAAATTGGAGTTTGGTGTGCTCTCAATCGAAGGAGGATTTATGGACCTATTTTTTTTAATGGTACTCTTACTGCGCAAAGGTATAGAGAAGAAATTATCGCTCCTTTTGTTAACCAGCTGGAAGAAAACGAAATTACAAACTTTTACTTTCAACAAGATGGCGCAAGGGCACATACGGCAGGCGAGACGATGAATATGTTGAGGGAAGTTTTCCAAAATCGACTAATAAGTCTCAATGCTGAACATGAATTTCCACCGAGGTCATGTGATATTACGCCGTGTGATTTCTTTTTGTGGCCTTACCTTAAAAACACTATTTTTGAACTGCCTATTCCTGATTTAAACCATCTGCAGGCTCGACTTATAGACAAGATTCGTGAAATTAACAATACCCCGAGCATCTTAGAAAATGTCTTTAATTCTTTGAGGAACAGGTGTGAAAAGTGCTTGGAACAAGGAGGGGGACACTTTCAGCAGCTGCTTTAATTTATTGTTATAACAAGGAGGGGGACACTTTCCGCAGCTCCTTTAATTGTTTGTTATTGTTATCACGATTATTCTTTAAAATAAAGTTATATAGTCATTAACGTTATTGAAACTGACAGCTGCTATACAGCTCGTTAAGAAATGAGGTTAAGTTGGTCGCTATAAGCTACTCCCTACGTCCAATGTGTCAGAGCCAACTTCGACCACGTTTTTATTTGAACGCTCGTTATTTATTTGTTTACTTATTGGAACCTACGCGGACATTGCAAAAATAGGATTGAGATAAGCATTCCTACAGTCACAGTACAGTGTCTGTACTTTTCATGGGACATATGTTATCCGTAGTATTTTTGCCTCCCGATCACAAATCCGGTATGGGAATTGAGTTATCACATGGCAAGAATTTCCTAACCTCAAAAAACAGGTCAAAAATAGCAAAAATTCACGAAAAGGTGCTAGGAAAAATTCATAATTTTATTTTTCTATATTCAAATGTTCATTTATATGGTTAAGACCCCGGCGAATGTGAATCCGCGGTCAGAATTGATGTTTATTTTTCTAACTTCAAAAAAATATGAGCCAGGTCAGATATCAGGATTTAAAAAAAAATAATAAATTCGCGCCAAATTTTGTATACGGGGATTTTCGGAGTCGCTGATCACGGATCCGAGGACAATTTTGCAAAATTCAAGATGGCGGATCCAAAATCACCGACAAAATGTTAAAAAACAATGCATTCGCGCCAAATTTGGTATAAGGGGGGTTTCGTGGTCGCTGGTCACGAATTCGAGGTCAGCGACCCGAAAAAACCCTCATATACCAAATTTGACGCGAATGTGTTATTTCTTGAAAATTTGGTCGGCCATCTTGGAACGACCATCTTGAATTTTGCAAAACTGATACATTTGTTGCTATTAAAAAAAACAGTTATTTAACTTTAAGCGATATAATAGTAGCTTTTGTGTTAGTTGGGCAATCATGTTTTACCTTCTTTTTTTCGGCTATATCTTCTTTTTTCTGTAGAAGATCTATTCACGGGTTTTCTGCCTAATCTCAGGTAATAAAGTACATAGGTAATTGATTAAATTTTTAAAAACGTAAATGTAAATATGATCGCGGATTCGTGATCAGTGACCCCGAAAACCCCCGTATACCAAATTTGGCGCGAATGTGTTATTTTTTAAAAATTCGTGATATATTAATTGAACCGTTATTTTGAGGCTAGAAAAAGAACCATCAATGCTGACCGCGGATTCATGTTCAGGGGGTCTTAACCATATAAATGAACAATTGAATATAGAAAAAAATTTTTTTGTATTTTTTCTAGCACTTTCTCGTGAACCTGTTATTTGAGGTTATGAAATTCCTGTGATGTGATAGCTCAATTCTGACACCGAATTCGTGATCAAGAAGCAAAAATACTACGGATAACATATGTCGCATGAAAAGTGCACACAACTTTTTTTTGTGTGGCTCTGTTATCAAGACAGTAATACCTAATATAAAATAATCTATCAATACTCTTACCCAGAAAGACTAAGTTGATCAACGAACAAAAATCTCTTATAAAATGAATGGTCGAGAATGCGAACATGTACCTATATATATTTGTCAAAGAACATATACTCGTTAAACGCAAACAAATGTCGTATCTTGTGGATGATGCACATCGATACATACGAAAACATGTCTTTACTTGCCAAATAATCGCCAAAGCTGTACAGACGGCACATGTTATTTCGGTGTGTAATGGTTTGCTCGAGGAACGGTAAATAACAGCGGCGACTCGTCAGGGATGGTACAGAATTTTATAGAAAAAATTATTGCCTGAATACATTCTTCTAGTAAAAAGTAGAAATTTAATAATAATTTAGCATAATGATTCTAAAAAATGAAGTGGATCCTAATATCATTTTGTAAAAAGAAAAGGCACATCAAAATAACAAATATGGTTTAATTCGAATATAGTCCAGTCGTCAGAGGCCGAAAAGTTACTGTTGGTGACATTTCCTTGATAACTCGGAAATAACTACACAGAAATATTTTAAATGATGAATACAATAACTAATTTGCTGACAAAGTATTTTATCAGGAAAAAAAAGTTATTAACTTTAAATAACTCAGCGGGATGACTGTACGAAAAAATGCTTAGGACATGATTTTGTTCGTAATAAAAATAGCTACAAAATGGCGGTGGTCCGATTACGAAATTTGCAATAACAAAGCCGCGAGTTGCTGTAAAAATGTTAATTATAAACTTGTGATAAAACTTTCGAAAACTATAGTTCAATATATATACAATAATGACGCTAAAGCCGAAAATCAGGAGAGCAAAATTTTTTGTTCTATAAGGTTTTATACATCCATCGGCATCTGAAACTCGAAACTGTCAAATTTGTTTGAAGTTTTGCTGACACTTGAAATTTGGTATACACATAGTGTAAATATGCAGAAACCAAAAGCAATTTGCAAAATTCAATTATCTTCATTTTTGCAGCTTTGGTAAGGTTTTATACGTCACCCTAGTTTTATACGTCAACGTTTTTTTAATTTTTGGAAATATATATATGTATATTTATAAATTATTCCATCAAGGTAGATTAACCAGCACAATTACCTACAATTAAAAAAATAATAATTTTCATCGTTTGGATCCTAAGGTACTTATCATTTTGCGCATGTTAGGCGTAGTCGTACATTATTCAACATATCAACATAAAACAAAATCGTACGTGTGGGGTAAACCTTTAACTTTTCATTTTCGAGCGCGAGCTCCGCTCTTCGGCGCTTGTATACTATTAGAAATATGCAGTAAATTTAAACAATTGTTTACTTAAAGTTAAAGGTTTACCCCACACGTACGTTTTTGTTTTATGTGTATGTTATGTAATCTGCAAATGTTTGATGAATGTTAGGCGAGTGTCCGCACATCTGGNGGAAAATCGCGAGAAACGTAACTTTATGTAATTCAAGATGGTGGAAACGCCCACTGGCGGCCATCTTGGAAACTTGAAAATAATTTCCAGCATTTTCCCTTGCCCACTTTACCTATAAAATTTTTTACCGTAGCTCTCTACGATCACTAGTTTCTGAGATACAGCCGCTTACCTCGCTTATTTGCCCACCCTGTACAAGCGTTAATTTTCAACCAAACATGATTCTGAAAGCGTCATTGTAATCTTAAAGACGCAATCAAGCGACCTATTAAAAAATATCACCGTTTTTTTTGACATTAACATTCTCAAATTGTGCATTAAAAAACCGTGCGTTTTTCGCTTATACACAATTTGAATAACATTGTTGCTATTTATGCTATTTCACCGAAAATAGATGCAATGGATAGCCGGCAAAAAAATAGTTTTAAAATAAAAAAAGTACCCTCTACGACCAACAGGAGCCAAGATAAGAATTAAAAAAAAAAATCGTGGTGCAATTGTTTATAAATATTAAGAGTTGAATTTTTCGCAAAATAAAGTTTACGACGTAAACTACGATTTCCCGAGAATTGCATTGAAAAATGTGGAAAATTAACGACTCACGAGCCCTTTAAAAAGAAGGTACTCGCTAAGTAAACTGTCCGGCGGCCGGCGGCGTGGTGGTGGGGGAAGCTCGTCCAAGCGGTCGCGCGGGCGAGAAAAGTTAAATCCAAAGTTCAAATAGGTGCGCGCTGTAAATTTTGCAATATCTCGGCTTCTATTCATCCAAAATCCTACATATCAAAACATAGAGTTGAATTTTTCTTAGAAATGTTTCCTATTCAGGTATATTAAATAGTACAAATATGGATAACCGGATTCATTGCACATAATTTTTTTTATCGACATCTTGTTTTATCTCTCGACAGTGTTATAACTCGTTGGAATGGACTTTTCATGCTTTATCTCCTGGAATGCGTAATGTCATTTACCTCAATATGGAAACCTATAGATGGCGTTATTTCAAAAGAATTCCGTTTTATGGATTTTTCTCAAAAATTTTAAATGCCATGCTATAGTTTTCTTTACATAAATGAATTCAGCACAAAAAATTGATGGATATAGTATAAGTTTGAAATTTCTAACGAAAGCGTTGTTTATTTATTGGGGTTATTTGTCTAAGTTTTCACGTTTCTTAAAAAAGTTGTATACTAGTTATACAATAATTTAATAAAGAATATGGTTTATAGTTACTATACAACTGGGTTAGCAATACGCGTCTTATATCCAATATTCACCTGTTTATCTGTCACATATATTATACAATGTTCTTGTAATGACATTTAGAATTATAATAAAGAATTAAGCGCATTTCTTTCAGTGTAGATTTTCAAATGGTTTTATGAATACTTTTTTGAGGGTAATGATAATTTTAAGAAAAAATACGTATGGGGATAAGTAATACTAGATCCTATTAGTTATATTTATAAAACATGTAGTAATGCAGAGGGTCTGAGTAAACTTATGATCAAGTGATATTCCTTTTTATGTCTTTCAAAGCGAGCAAACAGAAAAAAAACTAGCAGAAATAGGCATGTAGCAATTGTGGTTCAAAGTTCATCGTTCGATTTTTCGTTTTTCTTTAAAAAAGAATATTCAACATTGAGGTTAAGATGCATCAGCAAGTATTGGGATAATCATATGATCATTGTTTCGTAATTACTGTTTCCAAGAGATGTCCTATACTGGGTGATCTATAACGTATCCAAAAAAAATTTGTAAAATCCTTATAGTTTTCGAGAAAAAAACTATTGAAGTTGTAGTATTTTCAACCATTGCATAGCTGGACACCTGTAGTTTCTAGCGTCATTCGTAACACGCGTGGAAGTCACGTGGACTCAACGAGTTCGAATACTGAAATCCGATTTTACAGTCGTCGTTACCATAGTGTTTACAATAGTTTTTTAGTAGTTAGTGACTTGCGTGACTTCAACTTGAAAGTTGATGGATATCGTTTTAATTTATGGTGAGGCAAGAAAATATTATTTGCATTATGGTGAAGCATTTTGTGTTATGGTGAAACAAGACAGCATTTGTGTTAGTTCGTAGAAACTAAGTAAGACACATCCAAATGTGTTTACATGTCGGTGGACAAAATTTTGAAAAGTTGTANTGTTTGACGAATGTTTGGCGAGTGTCTGCAGATCTGGAGCCAGTTTAAGGATGAATACGAAGGTAATTCAACTCTCGAGCATTTGTAACTAACATTACATATTCTTGAAATATTAAAAAAGTATATATCTGGGAAACGATGCATTCCCGGATCAATATTTGAATAAACTTTTTTGCTTATTTTTACCTGAAGAATGTCCTCCTGTGTGCACTTCCTCTTGAGACATCTCATAGTTATTTGCAGTATACATTTTAACCATTTTGTTCCAAAAAACAACTACATATGCATATCTAAATATTGGTATCAAATAAATATAAAGTATAACAATAAGTTAATAAACTATAAAAACTATATAATTAAATTTTATATAGTACTTGTAAATAAGATTAATCTATCCACATACCAAAGTCTTGAATCACGACACTATAAGCTGCGAATAAGTTACCCATTCTGCTTTATTTGACATACGCTTACTGACTCTAAAAGTAATAACAAATAGATAAATTAGAAATGTATTTATTCTTTTTATGGTAAATTTAAAATTATATTCTTTCAAAGTATAAACAATAGGTTTGCTAGCTTATAAATTATTTAACATGACATTCCTTTAATCCTTTTGTGCGTTAAATAAATATCTCATTCACCTTTTTTGACGGTACTATACACAAACTAATTTTTTTAAGAAATAGCAACGATCTTACCTTGTTTCGTAAGCAGCCTAGGGCCAGCACTGTGAGTCGACATGACGCTATCACCCCTGCTGAGAACGGATATGCCCCCGTATCCACCGAAACTGTAACTTTTCGCTACACAAGGCCTTAACGCTTCTGCCGTGTCTTCAGAATGGACCTAAGGAAACAAAATTTGGGATATTTTTTGTCGTTTGTGATCCCCGATTACCTTTATTAATTTTCCAAAATGACGTCGGTGGACGTCGGGCGGTTGAAGGCGAAATCGAGACGAATAATCGCTCTCTGTACTGGACCAAGGGATTTCGGACCAGCCGAAATCTTCCGAAGAACCATCGTGCATCTATCAAAAAAAAATCTAAGTTTTACTTTCATCACATTTTTGCAAAAATCGTATTTTGATAAAAAAAAAATAAAAGCCTATACTTATAAATCCTAGAGGTATGTCCATTTGAAGTGCTGCGAGCATATGGCGCGTTCGGCATTGTTCGGTGTGCACATACCTTTACGATTATAATTCTAAAGTCCATCTAAAAATTCTTAAGGGTTGAACGATCTAAATAATATCTAAAAAAAATAAGGACGATGTTGTCATATCTCCCAAATTTCCCAGTTAGTTCAGAAACGTGTCAGTTTTAACATTCATTTTGTTTTACATTTTAAATACAATAAACTGATTTTTACAAAAAATGTCATTACACCAGGAAAATTAGCGAAAATAAAAGAGAAACTCGAAAAAAAAAAATACGTATGGGGATAAGTAATACTAGATCCTATTAGTTATATTTATAAAACATGTAGTAATGCAGAGGGTCTGAGTAAACTTATGATCAAGTGATATTCCTTTTTATGTCTTTCAAAGCGAGCAAACAGAAAAAAACTAGCAGAAATAGGCATGTAGCAATTGTGGTTCAAAGTTCATCGTTCGATTTTTCGTTTTTCTTTAAAAAAGAATATTCAACATTGAGGTTAAGATGCATCAGCAAGTATTGGGATAATCATATGATCATTGTTTCGTAATTACTGTTTCCAAGAGATGTCCTATACTGGGTGATCTATAACGTATCCAAAAAAAATTTGTAAAATCCTTATAGTTTTCGAGAAAAAAACTATTGAAGTTGTAGTATTTTCAACAATTGCATAGCTGGACACCTGTAGTTTCTAGCGTCATTCGTAACACGCGTGGAAGTCACGTGGACTCAACGAGTTCGAATACTGAAATCCGATTTTACAGTCGTCGTTACCATAGTGTTTACAATAGTTTTTTAGTAGTTAGTGACTTGCGTGACTTCAACTTGAAAGTTGATGGATATCGTTTTAATTTATGGTGAGGCAAGAAAATATTATTTGCATTATGGTGAAGCATTTTGTGTTATGGTGAAACAAGACAGCATTTGTGTTAGTTCGTAGAAACTAAGTAAGACACATCCAAATGTGTTTACATGTCGGTGGACAAAATTTTGAAAAGTTGTAACATAATTATTTTATTATTTAAAACCACAAATTAATTTTATAAATTAATAATAACAATAGCCCCAAAATCAGTTGAATTTGCTGATATAAAATAGGTGCTATAAAATTGTATTTATTTCTTTTTTTGTCCGTTTTTATCACACCGCCATGCCGGTCGCATTGTGCGCGGTCAGGTTTTACAGTGGACCAGTTTCCAGTGCTGTGCAGAAGTGTATTTTTAAATCATTTTCGAACTGCCCTTTTTGATTTTTTATTTACAAAATTGTATTTGTAAGAGTCCCCTGTACATTCAGAATTTTTTTTGGATAAGTTCTGAATCACCCTGTATAATTTAATGTTTCATAATATAGTGTTGGATACTTTTTAGACGCAAACAAGTCTTCACGCACATATATTTACCGTATATATTGATTATTTGCAAACTTTCTTTAGAAAACAAAACACGTCTGTGCTTAAGGATTGATTCGTCGTATCCAAAGACCGTTTAACTTTTGAGTATTTTGTAGATGGACTCGGAGAATTATAAATATGTATATATGGTGCCCCTGAACAGGTGTTACAAACTTTAACCTCGTATAGAATTACGACTTAATCAGATCTATTATTTTCTTTTTTTTTAAATCGTTTGTTATCGTTTTTGGTTACCTGTTATTTTTAAAGTTGAAATAAATTAAAAAAACAAACTTATGTAAGGGATAGTCTATATAGAGCTGGGGGTTTCAATACTATACATATTTTTATTTCATTGAATTTTTAAGTTTTCTTAGAGGAATCGAAAAAGTCTTTAAATGTCTCAATGAAGTATTTTTTTGTTTGCTGCTTTTATCATAGCTTCAGTAGGAACTGAAAGATTAGCGTGTACATCATTTAGTGAAACCTTGACAATTAAAGAAAGACATTTTCACAGTTTCACAGCAGTTTCTAATTTTTCGCATAAATTCTCAGCTAATTAAAAGTTATGGTACTCTACATGTGTTTCATCAATACATTTTTATCACAATGGTCTTCAACTTCAAAAATAACGGGCCTATAGAAAAAATTATAATTATTGATTCATGCATTCTCCTTTCACAAAAGAAATTAACATTCTAGTTTTTATTCAGGGACATCCTTAACATGCTTTATTAACAAAACCCAATAAAACAGTTAAAAGATGTATTAACTTTTTTTTACTTACCTCTCTGTTGAATATCCTCCTTCTAGCCTTCTCATATTCCTCCTCTCGTTCTTCGAAACTTTTACTTCTTCTATTTTCTGAACTAAAAGATCTATCTGGTGATTTAAAACTGGAAATTCAAATTAAGAAAATACCTATTTGCTTGAAAACTATCTTTCTATTTTTTTAATTCCACGAAATCCTAATCCGCAAATTGCACGTTTCAGTTATAATGAAGTACTACATATTTAATGAGATTTCCTGAAATACAGGATGCCCTATGAGAAAATACCCAAACTTAAAAGGGGCACTCCTGAGCCAAAAATAAACAAATAAATTTATATAAACCTTAATCCGGAAACTCACCTGATCTATATTTCAAGAACGTGTAATAATAACTTCACAAAATTTAATGCGGCTCTTAAATTTGCACTTAGTACCGACAAAACTATTACAATTACCAGTGCCGTAGATATGGGGGGCAGCCTCTTTTGTGAAACATAACTTCTGCGCCTATGACTTTTTTAATACCTATTTTTTTATATTTGGTTAGAGTGGCACATTTATGAAAAAAAAATACATTTGACAAATTTTCTTATATTCATAGAATGGTATATTGCAGAATATTTCCATTTGTTTTGCAACAGAAATTGTAGTTTTTCAACAGAATTTGAATTAATAGAAAAGTTATACTTGAATGAGGCTGATATAGGTACAAAAACTAATTACAAAAAATTGTATAAAATTTTTAAAGGTCTCGTTACAAACATTACCAGAAAAAGAACATATAAATTAAAACTAAAAAAAAAACTATCAAAAGTTCATTTACTGATTCTCTTAATATTTGATTTATCCTGGCCTTATCAAAGTGTCTTTAAAGCCACATGTACAATATAAACTCCAAGATGAATCATGTGTACCGCTGTCCGCATCCTCATAAACAATGTTGGACATATTTTTCATGCCTAATTTATATTTTTTTCTTATGATTTCTGTATTGTATTAACTTCGTTCAGATTTAATTTCTCGATGTGTTAATGTGTAGGTATACTAAAATTCTCTTAAAGAACTGTAGTTTCATTGTAAAAGAAATCTTTAATCACTATGAAAAGTACACCAAAATCTAAGAAAATTTGACAGGAATCATGTATTTCCATAAATGCGCCGATTTAATTAAGTATCTATGCATGAATACTTCAAAAAAAGTCATAGAAGTAAAAGCTACGCTACACGAAATGGGTTTACCTCCTGTTTCTACGGTACTCGAAACTGAATTTCAAAATTACAGGCATAGTTTTGTAAGTACCAAATGCAGTTATTACTCTAAAATTGAATGAATTCAAAAAATTTTATAAGAAAACATTTTAAAAATTGTTTTTTCCGGTTTATACACATTTTTTGCTGATTTTAACCTGCGTTACGCCATCTTAAAATTTGTGTACCTTCTCATATAACATTATATACACAGGGTAACAGTTTTTACCTGTATAACTTCGAGAACAGATAGAACAAGTGAAAATAAATTCACTTTGTTATTTAAACGTATGTTAAAAAATATTTTTTCAGATAAAAACGATTCAGATTTCTTAACTGGTATACGACTTTACTTATTTAAGAGCAATATATTACTAGACTCTAATAAAATGTCATGCAGGGCATTATTTCTTTGGGATCCTCACCTCTTGATCCATTAACATTTTTATACGCTCGCCTATAGTTAACTACTTTACTTTCATCAATAAAAAATCAATTTTTAAACAATTTTAATTTCTGGTAAAATTTGGATATCTACTATGGATTTATACATTTGGAGGAGTAATTTTATGAACAAAAATAAGAAAATAGTTTATATCAACATAATTCCCACAGCATTTTAAGAAGTATGTTCATATATACCTTCTTTCTTATTTTTATGTTTATCATTTCCCTAATTAAAAAAACAATAATCAAAGCGAAAGATTTATGTGTTTTACACGAAATCTATAGTATATCAAAATTCCACAATAGGTAAAAATATCTCTAAAAATCAATATTTTATTGTCCAATGTAAATTAGATAACCACATGTGCATGCATAAAAATGTGGTGGTTAAGGAGGTGGCAATCCAAAGAAAAAAAATACCGCGTGCCATTTTCTTATATACTCTTATAATACAGGGTGCGTTCAAAACAAAACAGGACCTTTTAAAAATAAGAACAAAAAGTTTTTTGGCGAAACCTATTTATTTTATTCAAAATTGTCTCCTTCCGACTCAATATAGCGATTTGCATGGTGTAAAATCATATCGAATGATTGTTTTAGATCGTCGACCGGGACATCCTCCAGAATGTCGGTACAATAATTTTGGATGGCTTCTACGTCCACAAAACGTTGTCCTTTCATCCTCAAATACGCGGTCGACAGTAAAAATGCGATTTTTACTAAAAAAATTGGTCACAAGTGTCGATCGATGAGCTGGCGCGTTATCGTGCAACAAACGCCAACTTCTTTCTGCGCAATAATATGGCCCAATACGACGAATACGATGCACTAAACGCTTCAAAACGCCAAGATAAAATTGTGCATTAATAGTCGAGGAAATAAAGCACAAAAAGTGCCGAAATTTCCGAAATTTTTCGAACAAGTCGTATTAAGATGGGATTTTTTGCATTCGCTTTCTAAAATTATGTGGAAAAAATGTAGCAACTTTGTATTATATTTAACGACCAAATTGCATTTGTGCGGTGCAAAATGCATCCGGAAAAATGCATTTTTTAAAGCCACTTTGAAAAAATTCATAACTCGGTTAATAATGCCTGGAATGGACTCAAATCAGGGTTCTGGGGGTTTTCGAGGTCGCTGACTCCGAATATGACCATTGGTCATGGACCATTCAAATTGGTCCATCGCTGACCTGGAGCTTAGGATTGATGATAACGTCATCTCTGAGGCTTTTCCTGAATTTCACTCTTAAATGCACCGAGACTTGATACCCGGAGGTTTTTCGGGTCGCTGATTCCTAATCTGGCGTCGGCGAGCACCTCCCGGACACCTGGTGCACCAGAACCTGGACATGGACATCATCTCCGGGAGTTTTCCTGTAAAATTCGCGTAAACGAGTCGAAAATCAGGGGATTTTTGGGGCACTCTTCTCGAAATGCATGCACGACTGTGGGCCCCCAGACCGGGACCCTCGAAAAACTATCCGGGCCATATACGTCAGTTAATGATGAAATTGATATTTAGTAGAATATTTTCAAATTAAAGTTAATAGTTGATTAGATTAGGATAAAATGAAGTTAGATTGTATTTGAGTTAAATTAAATTGAAGTTAAGAGTTAGTTAGAAATGGCAATTGATTTGGAAATAAATGATTTTGATTTGTTTTTGAAACAACACTTGCATACATTGTGACATTCATTCAATTTATTCTCTCTATTTTCATCTTGCATACTTTAACAATTTCAAACATGTTATTGCAGTATTAACGGCAGTCTCAAATATATTGAAAATTTAATGTTTATTGATTTTCTGGCGATGAAGCCGATTTGAAGGTCCCGGTTCCGGTGCACCAGGTGTCCAGAGGGTGGTCGCCGACGCCAGATTCGAGAAGAGCGCCCTGAAAAACCCCCTGATGCGATTTTCGGCTCGTTTACAGGAAAACTCCCGGAGATGACATCCATGTCCAGGTTCCGGTGCACCAGGTGTCCGGGGCTTCTCGCCGACGCCAGATTAGGAATCAGCGACCCGAAAAACTCCCGGGTGTCAAGTTTCGTTGCATTTAAGAGTGAAATTCAAGAGAAGCCTCGGAGATGACGTTCATCATCAATCCTAAGCTCCAGGTCGGCGATGGACAAATTTGAAGGTCATATTCGGGATCAGTGACCTTGAAAGCCCCCAGGACTCTGATTTGAGTCCATTCCAGGCATTATTAACCGAGTTATGATTTTATTCTAAGTGACTTTAAAAAATGCATTTTTCTGGATGCATTTTGCACATACAAAGTTGATACATTTTTTTCACATAATTTTAGAAACCGAATGCAAAAAACCCCATCTTGATGCGACTTGATCGAAAAATTTCGGCAGTTCAGTGCTTTATTTCCTCGACTATAACGGTTTGGCCTGGTGGAACGAACTCTTGGTGGCCAATGCCCTTGGAATCGTAAAAGCAAATCAAGATTATCTTCACTTTTGACTTCTCCAAACGAGAATTTTTTGATTTTGGCTTGTTTGTTGCCTTTTACTGGACACTTCGGCGCTTTGTTTCTGGATAATATTGAAAACACCAGGTTTCATCACAAGTCACAATGTTGTAAAGGGAGATTTTGTCCTTTTTGCCCTCCTTGATGATATCCTTCGAATGTTGAATTCTGAGCAATTTTTTTGGTCGTCAGCCTACTTGTGCGGAACAAACCGTGCACACACTTTTCGGTATGTAAATGTTCGGCCAAAATACAACATTGATGTTTTTGAGAAGAATTTGGGTGATCTTTGATGAATTCACGCACAGCTTTGATGGAATCAGAGGTGATCACGGATTTCGGTTGGCCAACATGTTGCTCATCATTTATGTTCTCATGACCGTTTACCACACATGAATTCTGCCACGGGATAAAAAATCACCATAAGCTTAATAATTGAAACGTTTTGGAAAAAGTTTTACAAGTTTAAAACAAAATTAATATTAGCTCTTTGTTCGATGTTCGATGCTTCTTTGTTTGTTCTAACTTTCCGTGTATGTAATTGCCAATAGATGGCTTCACTAGATATACCTATTTTTGAAAAGTCCTGTTTACTTTAAAACGCACCTTGTATATTACATTCAAATGAATAAAAACGTATACCAACTAAGAAGCTCAGGCTCAAACCATTATAAAGTTATTTGAAAAAATATTTCTTCACCGCTAACTTGAAAATCCTGTGTCCCGGAAATGGTTGAATTTTTTACACACGGTTGTATAATAAATTTATTTCCTCATCTTCTAAGTGATCCCGAAGTTATCAAGATACAAACTGTTGCACCCTGTATATGTATGTACGAATTTCTGAAACAACTTTAGCAACAATACCTCAAAATACTCATGACATACAATGACTGATGTTTTTCTGTAGGTGTAGGATCACTTCCGGAAGCAAATTTAAACAGTTATTTTTTCGATTTTGATCATTATTTTCAAGCCTAATTAGGGAATATAAATTTAAATAAAGTACCTTAGAGGCATTTCTCTATAATGTAATCAAAACTATTCTATTTAAAAACATATTTGAAAAAATTAAAATAAATTAATTATTCAAAAATATTTGTGATATGAAAACCTATTAATTTTCTTACAAAAAAAAAACGGTAAGGATGCTATTCTTTACTGTCCTACCTATAATCCTCCACGCTGTTGGAGTCCCGTTTCAGGATTGACCTCCTCGGTTCCTCGCTGAAGACGATGTCGTCCTTGATGTGCTCCTTGAACTCGACGTCGGGTATTCGCGTGTTCTTCGTCTTGTTGACCACCACCGACTTCCCTGTGGGTTCGATGTTGTGGTCCATCCCGAAGTAGGCCGCACAGCGGTGCACCAGCATGCGTTGGTACGAGGACATCGGCGGAAATTTGTAATGAGTTTTACTGAAAAGGAAATCGTGAGCGCTTTCCATTGAAAATTGCCTCTAACACGTGTTGTTACATAGGCGCCAGAACTTCTCAATTGATGCGGGCCCTCAAATCGCGCAAACAGTAAAATAGAGGGGTTCATACAAAGTGTGATATAATTAATATTTGTAATGTTTGTCTTGAATTTAAAACTATGAAAACTATGAATAAAATAAATTGAAATATTCTGAAAAAAAGGTTGTTTCTAAGTTGGTAATACCCAAGAGAAAGGATTTTAATTTTTATAGATCAGGTTTGCTGATTTCGCAGATTCTAATCTTTACAACAGTATTTATAAAACATACATTTCATTTAAGTTAAAATTTGATTTCGTTAATAAACTGTTTAAGATATCGACTATCGATAGTTATCGATAGTCGATAACATACCGCTGATAACATCGACCTTTTGCAAGATTTTTTAATAATCTTTAATCTTTTTTAACCTTAAATAAAAAAGTTATAATCAATTTATAATGAGCGTTTTGTTGTTATCAAATTTGGAATACATAACTAAAAAAGTTATGGCTAGAAATTATTTTAAAAAAAAATACCATTTGTCTGTGCAACTGTGTCAATTTTGAGTTATCAATAAAGTGTCATATGGAGTTGCATTATTATTTTTATGAGCAGAATTACTGTTTAAATATTTATTTATCGTTTTCAGAAAATAGAAAATAATAAGAAATAAAACCAAAAAAGGACTTTTCAAAGATAAAACTTTTTTGTGCTTCTTTAAGTTCTTATGCAAAAATTACAAATATTATCCATATTATACCCTACACTTTCTATAAATTAAAACTATATACATTTTTGTAATTTTAATTCGAGAATTTAGTTTAAATAGAACTAATTTTCATTTCTACTTGATTGTTGTATATACAGTATCAACAAAGTCAGTAATTTTTCGGGAAGATCTCTTTTAAAAACTATTAAATTTTATTTTCAATTACCTTTGACGTCACGATAATTTTTTTAACATGTTTGGGGACCGTCACACCACCGATCACACTACCCAATATTAAAAGGTTTTTGGAGAAATCTTTATAATTCATAAATAATAGACTTATCTTATGGGGCATCGGTATGCCCACATATAGAAGCTCTATCGAATTCTGAAGAACAAATACACGTAAAATGTAAGAAAATTGTCAAAAAATATATTCAACAAAAATCTACCAATCTCGAAGTTTTCTATAAAGTTTTATTCGTCTTTGTTACACGCTCCTGACTTTTGTTGTACACTGTACATGAAAAAAATACACTTACCACCTATCTTTGGCAAGATTGACTAGTTCTTGTTCTATGCGAAGCATAAGAGCTCTGTCCTTTGCGTTTCTATTAAGTGTTTCGGGTATAAATTGTTCTAAATCGACACCTGTAGTATCGGTGTATTGCTCAGAACTACTATCTGAAACCAAATAAAGGGTAAGATGATTCCACTACTCTCCCCGAGAAGAGATGTAGTTGCTAATATTTATAAAGTTGAAATAACTATCTTTTATTAGTTTTTATTATACAGAATATACAGAATGCTAATTTGAAATTATTTTTTAAATCAAATATCAATCAAAATCTGTTGCCTAACACCCGATTATATCTGCGCGTTTATCAGTGTTGCCAGTTGTTACTTTTTTTACACCAACTGTATGAAACTAATGGAGTGGTAGAGAACGAAACTTCAATGGAATAATTTTGTAGAAACCAGTTGCTTTTGTATGACTTTGCAACGTGTTACTTTAAAGTTGCCATATTCTTTTGAGGAAGAAACATCGAGCAATAAAAAAAATTGAGTGTTTTTAAAAAACTAAAATTTTTTGGATGATTTATTAAATATAATACTAGTATGTGGATATGCATACGTTAATAATTGTAAGTAAGACTAATTTATGTTTTAAAATAATTATTTTTGCTGTTTTATAAAACAAAAATACTAATCTCAGATTTGAAATATTCTTTAAGGTCAATATACAAGGTGAGTCATTAATAATGGTACGTAGCTTAATGGCAGATTGTTAACGTAAAAATATAGTGATTGAGCCAAACATGCCCTAATCAATTGTTGCCCCTTTTCGTTCTGCAGGGTGTTAAAGTTGAAGAAATATTTTCTATTTTTATCTAATATGTACGGACCGATTGTTTTGAAAATTTGTAGTTTTATGTTTTTTGAGAATGTAAAAATCTGCCTAACTTTTTGTATTTTACAATTAAATTAGAAAATTAGCAGGTCTTAAGATACCAAGCCTGAATTAAGTATTAAGACAAACATTACAGCAATTGAAAATTTTATTATGCATATCTTAACAAATTATTTACCATCAGCCTTTTATTTAAATTTTGTCTGACGTTAAATAAAGTTCTATGTTGTTTGACAATATGAACTGATTCTTTAATATTTGTCCACAGTTGTACATGGCCATTAATAATGTTTTTATAAACTAAAGATTTGAGATATCCCCAAAAGTAAAAATCCAACGGATTTAAAACAGGGCTACGTGCAGGCCAAGGTACTTCGCTACCGCGTCCAATCCAACGGTGCAGGAAATTTCTATTATATTCTCTTCTCTAAAAAATAACGACAATGAAAAAAACTACTTCCTAATCAAATTGAGTAGGATTGGCAGAAACAATGTATTGTAGTGACAGATGTCAATTTATTATGTCGATACCTACTACTTTGGAAAACATAATTTTCTAATTTAATTCCCGTCGAATCTCAAAAATTTAAAACATCTGTATCTCAAAAAACAGTTGAGTTTATCGATTCGTAACAAGTATAAAAAATTCAAAATTGTAAAACATAAAAAGTTGGACATTTTTTACATTGACAGGAGAGTACAACTAGTGCCCCCTAGACGTGACTCCAATTCTATTTGCATGTTCGTATTTGCCACCTCAAAAAACGTAATACTATAAATTTTTAAAACAATCGATCCATACATACTTAAAATATAGCAAAAAAATCGAAAATAATTTTTCAACTTTAACACCCTGTAGAAGGAAAAGGAGCAACAATTGATTATGGCATATTTGGCTCAATCGCTATATTGTGACTTTAATAATAATCTGCCATTGAGCTGTGTACCATTATTAATGACTCACCTTGTATATTATTTAAAGCACCGTGCTTAGTTTATGAATATTTGACCTTTGACACTGACCTAGTCTAGGTGAATCACGAACGACAATGGTCGTATAATTAACTTATACGTCAAGAATCAGTTGTATAGTATCAGTAATAATAGTGTATATTTCCCAAAGAACTTAGATATCACTTTTGGTCTTAGAGATATGGTGCCGTACGGTTTTAAACGGAATACGCTGTATTTACGTACCTCTAGATAAGCAAGGTGAATTGGACGAGCTTTCGAAGCTGCCCTGCGATGAACTCTGCTGCCTGAGTTTGCCCCTGGAACTCGCCCTGGACACTGTCAGGGTGTTGGGGCTTCCCATCACATTGTTATTTACGTTCGTTAGATTGTTGTTGATGTTCCTCTCCTGCGCCTTAATGCACTTTATACAGTTCTGGTTTTGGCAATCACACATACACTTCTTCTTAACATTATGACTAGTTTGCTTCGAGGAGGCGTCCGAGTTTTTCGAGTTATTGACTTTGTTAAGGTACTTGGGACTCGAACTCTGGAAACGAAACTGACGTCAAATTTAGCCCCCTAACACGCTGAAATAGGCAGCGCTGCCTGCATCGACTTCTGCGTTGTAAATATAAGTTGCAGTTAATCTAATATAAAGAAAAAATGATTTTAGCTGTCTTTAGACTTTTGTTGTTTACTATGCTCATAACATACATACATTGGGGCTGACTGACCAGCTCTGTTCCCACATTCAGCTGGCTGATTGACACAACTTCTTTTTATATGCAGTATAGAATTTGTATAAAACGGTTTTCAGACTTAGTAACTTCATTTTATTACCTCGGTATGTACGACAACTTTACTGACCACAGTATGTTGGTGTACCGGGTGGCCAAATAAGAACGGCCGCCGGAGATATCTCAAAAACGAATCATCGCACAGCTTTAGGAAAAAATTACATTGAAGAAAGTGGCCCTGAAAAATCGCTGGAAAATGTTTGCTAGTTTCTAAAATGGCCGCTAGGCAGCGTCAGCCACGACTAAATAGAAAATTAGGATTTTCTCCATATTTTACTGAATTAAGGGGTATTGAAAATACAGTGTGTTAGTAAATTGCGACAAATTTCAGGGGGTGATTCTACATGAGAAAATTAATGGCAGTTTGCTTATAAACGTATGTCCGCAAATGATTCGTTTTCCGAGATACGGGGTGTCAAAGTTTTTCTTAAAAACTGACGATTTTATTTATTGCTCTGAAACCGGTCGAGATGTGCAAATGAAATTTGGTGGGTTTTAAGAGGTAGTTATTGCGCATTTTTTGACACGCAATTAAGAATTTTATGTTCATCATTGGCGCGCGTACGGGTATTAATCTCAATTTTTTTAAAGAAAAAAATGGTACCCCACTGAGATATTACAAATTAAAAATCATTTTTGAATTCCTCGTTCAATTTGTGACAAAAAATCTCCCTTGCCTTTTCTTCGTATGGGGCGCCGTTTTGATGCAAAAAAATAAAACATCTTAACGCGTATTTTTATTTCTTTAAAACATTACCTAGTAGGCTACTGTCAACATTTGTCTGCTAAATACGAATATTTTTAAGAAATGTCAAATTAGCGTTTCGTCATTATTAATTTATTAAGCTTTTAGTTATNACGAATATTTTTAAGAAATGTCAAATTAGCGTTTCGTCATTATTGATTTATTAAGCTTTTAGTTATTATTATTCATTTTTAATTATTATATGTATTTTATAAGATATTATAGTTTCTTTGGTAGCTTCAGAATCGTATCTATCTATAAGTGGTAAGCAACTCATATTACGTCAGCAGCATTCGTAAATTCATAATTTAAACTTTGTGTGCTAATATCTACCCTTAGACGAAATATATCGAGTTGCAGGCCACTTTCCTCAATGTAATTTTTTTCCTAAAACTGTGCGATGATTCGTTTCTGAGATATGGCAGGCGGCCGTTCTTAGTTGGCCACCCGTTACACAACTACTGTAATTAACTATAAAAAAAACTAGGCTCAATAAATTCAAACAATTTTTCTGCCTCTAGTTCTTGGACTATAGTGGGTACGTTTCTAAAAATCATTCAAGACAGTAAGCATTTGACAAACCTTATTCAAATTATTTTCAAATGGATAGGCACCTAATTTATAGATACAACCGAGAGTGACTTACTGTTCTCAAGTGAACACTTATCTTTACTACTAATCCAATAAAGTCGTGCTCTGCATATAGAGACCGCAAGAAAAATTCCAAACAGGATGATTTTTTCAGGGTTGCCTCCTGAGTATCCAACCACTCGAACTCACATGTTTCCTAAATATTATTTAGAGCAAAATGATCTCTATAAAAGTTGTAGGGAATCAAATTTTGAACAACTTTACCTTATAATTTTTTTTTGTATCTCTAATACTTCACGAGTTACTGTGCATTATATGAAAAAAAAAAAAAATACGCACGTTGCAGTGGTGGTCTTGTAAACATGTTTTACAACGAGTTGGCAACAGGGGAAGTGGGGCAAGCGGTGTTAGCTGACAGGCTGCATCAGTTCATTTTTAGTTTTCATTTGGAATTTGGAAATGACAGCGATGATGACGATATTGATGACGACCATGAAAACAGTATTTCATGCACGCAGGATGATAGTTCAAACATCGATTCGGATGACGTTGAGAAAGAGATGAATTGACCTGAGCCTTCCAGGAAAAGAGGACTAAACTGAGTTGATGATTTTCATGCAGATCGTGAAATTTTATAAAGCAAAATTGTAGAACATTTACTCTTCTCCAACTTTTATTAGTCATTTAAAAAAAAGTGTTTACAAGACCAGTCCTGTGGTAAACGAATTTTCTGTCATGCACTCCTTAAATATTAGAGATACAACAATAATTTATAGGGAAAAGTTGTTCAGAATTTGACCCTCTATAACTTTTATGAAGGTCATTTTTTTGTAAAAATATGTTTACAAGACCATCCCTGCGGCGGCGGCGGGCGTGCCCAATTTTTGTCACATAATGTGCAGTGAATCGTTAAGGATTACACATACAAAAAAAATTTATGTGGAAAAGTTGTTCAAAATTTGATCTACAACTTTTATTAAGGTCAAATGACATCTTTATTGGATTAAACTGATTTCGGGATTAGATAAATCTTTTTGCGGTTATATATATTTTCCTGCAAATTTAGCCGTTTACTGGAATTGGGTTATTATTTCTAAAAAAAGTTCAAGGAAACTCAATACAGAAAACTCAAGACAACTTTATCGAGGCTATTAAAAATAAAGCGTTATCAGAACTAATCCAACCTACCGGTCAAACGTAAATCTACAATTTGCACTTGGGCCGGTGTCAGGTAAGCTCCTTGAAACGTTATCACATCAAAGGCATGACATGGGGCCATTAATTAAGGCAAGTTCCTAAAATAGCCGCGCTTTTAATAATTCACAATGGCTAGCGTTACAGTTAACAACGCCATGGCTATTTTTAGGCTGGCGTTTACCTTACCTTTAACAACATTTAGATACAGGCAGAAATGCAGAATTACTGAAAAATCGATGGGTATAAAAATATATAACCATACCTTTTTCTACCCAAGTTGGTTTCCCTTGCTTTATAAGGTTACTAAATATCTATACAGGGTGAACCGCAGCAAATATAATAATATTGAGGAAAAGATAGAGCTTCAAGATGTTGCAAGTTTGCGTTGTTTACTTGCGTCACATGCATAGTGATTTGTGAGAATTTAAGATAGTTCGGAAATATTCCCGAATATTTCCAAACATTCGTAAATATAATTTTTTTATTAATGACCAAAAATTGTGAAGTGATATGAGTAGTAAAACGAGGACCCCAAAAAATGTACATCTGCATATGCATTTTGAGAGAATTTAGACTATTAAGTTCAGACATCTTAAATAGATCACATAGTTAATCACACAGGCCCACAAAAACAAGTAGTCTACCCGGTAAAGAAGAATATGTCCTCTCTTTTGACTCTACAAGTCAGGATTTTTTGAAAATCGTTAATTTATAGTTATATCTCGAAAAACCCTCTGATTTCAAGGTACCACTCCCATTCGCCAAACCACTGGACTACAGAGTGAAACTGCAAAATAGATGTAAAACATGGGTCTTCCAATAAAACTCTCTGACCTTGAAGCCCCCTAACTTCAACCCCATAAAATCATAACATTGTAAGACTGAGAAAGAGAGACAATATGAAGAAGCTTAATTAATGATTTAATGACAATCTTAGCGGGTTCCAAAATCATGAAACGAAGAACTTAGTAACCTATCCTTCAACCCTTTATCAGATCTTACTATTTTCTTATGAGTCCAATAAACTTAGTAACCTATCCTTCAGCTCTTTATCAGATCTTACTCTTTTCTTATGAGTCCAAAAAACTTATGAAACTGGGAACGAAGTGAACAAATTCAACTGATCCCGATATTTATGGTTGACTAACTTTGGAAGCAAGTTTTAAGTAATCTTGTAACTCCATGAGACTGGGATTGAACGGATTTGGATTTCTTCTTCCTATTCGTTCCCATTTTCATAGGGTTGTGGGGATGTTAGGTTCAAGAAGTTATGGTGGTATGTGATAAGTGTTACAAGATTCCTGAGTTTCCCATTATTTAGTATTTGCAGACACAATTATGTTTTAGAAATTCGCATTATTATTTGGAAATATATGCGGCTCATACAATACTTAGGCAGAGACAGAAAAGAATGTGCTGTGCCACGAATGAGACCCAAGTCATGTATTTGGATCTCCAGAAATTGAATCTAACATCGAAAATACTCCATCACCCCTAGTTTTATTGCAACAACTGTCAAAAACACCCCCAAAAACCCAACTGTAGGTAGTAGGTTTCTCATATCTTCGATCACAGCCCGGGAAACGACAGTTGAAGCATCATATTCATGGAGCTAATTACATATTTTTGGTAGCCTTTGGCAATTAAAAAAAATGATGATGGGACATTCCCCATGTCACACTGTGGTATTAATGGTTCAGAAGCCACAGTATTGAATTAAAATAATTTAATTATATTAGACAATAGGTCGCGAGCGGGTTTAAACCTAATTGGATATGGACTTATCAAATTTGCAACATTTTTGATGCTGTATATTTTTTAAACATGTTGTACGCTCTTAAAATATTTGAGTGATGACAATTGTCATCTATTGCAACGGATGGTGCAACTAGACAACCATCCTGAGGCTACAAAATTCGCGAAATTATATCAAAATGTACAATAAATTTAATAACACTACAGGTTTTAAATCATACCATAAATTGCAAGGGATAATTTATTTCGGTTTCGCTTGCCAAACCTGTAAAGTTCATAGAAGAATTATTAAACAAACCGGCAGTGATTAGAACGAAAAATATCGGCAAATCGATCTTTGAAGTTGTGTGGAAATTACAAATAACTCATTTATAAGGTGGCTATTATTTTTATGAGCTGTCCAACATACTAGAGTTCTAAATATTTCGGTATGTGTCGGTGATTTGTAGAAAAGTAGTAAAATATAACTGACAGTTCCAGGTGGTATATTAAGAAAACGGACAAACTAATAATTTGGTGTAGGTACGTGGGTCCTAGTTCGTTTTGTTTTCGATTCTGCGGATGCTTGATGCAGAGTGTTGAAACTTGGATCACTGATTTATCTAATTAAAAGTAAAAATTCGCTAAGTTGATTTACAAATACGGTAAGTTTTTTGACGTTTTTTGTTCGTAGGCTTTTGAGACAATTTGTTTAAGATAACTTATGCTTAAAAAGCAACATTATTTACATTACATAATAACCACGGACTGCGAAACAGCTCATGTGATTAGTGCAATGAAGTTGTTAATGCCATTAATATTACTGATTATATTATTATTATTGAATATTATTGCAAATTAAGCTAGTGTCTGATAAAAGCAGGCAAAATATGTTTTTTTTATAAACTCAACTCAAAAAAAGGAGCTGAAAAATTTCCAAACTATTTTAGTAATTTTTGAAAGGCGTACCTTTAGTCGAGGAAATAAAGCACTAAAAACGGCTTTACCTCCGAAATCTGTGCAGTAAGATGGATCGTGATGCGGTTTTTTGCAATCGATTCGTTAGAGCGTGCAGAAAGTTTGTGACTCTGTGATCAATGAGAAATGAAAATTGCATCAGTGCATAAGAAAAATGCATTTTTAAAATTGCATCTCGAAGTTTAAGGCTAAGTTTAAAACGAATTTCCACAAAACTCCAGGAGACGACGTGGAAACCGGCCACCCTGGGCACTAGGTACCTCGGAGACCGTTGCTGTCGTGATATTCGTGTTCAGCGACCTCAAAAACCCCGAGAGAACGAGTTTCGGCTAAATTTATAACGAATTACCACAAAACTCCAGGAGACGACGTGGAAACGGGCCACCCTGGGCACTAGGTACTTCGGAGACCGTTGCCGTCGTGATATTCGTGTTCAGCGACCTCCGAGTTATAAATTTTTCATATTTTAACTCTTCGAGATGCAATTTTAAAAATGCATTTTTCTTATGCACCCATGCAATTTTCATTTCTCATTGATCACATAGGGTCACAAACTTTCTTCACGCTCTAACGAATCGAATGCAAAAAACCGCATCACGATCCATCTTACTGCACAGATTTCGGAGGTTCAGTGCTTCATTTTCTCTACTACTTCGTGGTTCAAACTTATGAATTCCCTTTTTTCGATATTTGATGAGTATTTAACGTGAAACTGTAAGAAAAATAATGTAAGAAAATTTTATAATGATTAAGAAATTAATTGGTGTTTAAGATGCAATAACCCTGCTTCTTCCATTTTTTTATAAAACTTTAACGATTCAGGAAAGGAAAAAGGTTCGACCGATCGATTTCAAAATTTACAAGCCTCATGGGCATGTACTGAGCTAAAAGAAAAACCTACAAACATTGGTACTTTTCGCAGTATTCGCAAAGCAGTCGTTGATTTTCCAAAATAGCCGAAATGTATTTTTTAATATAAAATTCCCTTGAAGAGGATTGATTCAAGTTGCTAAAACCCACCATCAGCTCGTTCTACCATCATTAGTTCATGAGATATCGATGATAAAAAAAAGGTGACTTTTCACTCAATACTCGATATCTCAATGAGAAATAATCGTACAGAAAATAAAAGAAAACCAAATTGAAGCTGAGGAATCAGGCTAAATAACCATGATTCATGAAATACATAGATGTCAAGTATTTTCAGTCGCAGAAATAAATAATGTGACGAATGAGTGTGGGGAGGATGAAAAAAAAATGTATCGTTATTCAACACAGGCATAACTCTGCTTGATAATTGAAAAAGACATATTTGAGTCCGTTACAAAGTAAGTGAGATCGAGTGACGATGAAAAATTGAAAAAAATAATTAAAATATCACAATATTTGAGGACCATTGAATTACGATGTCATTTCGTTAGTATTCCAGTATTCCTAGTATTCCATACTCATGATTTGATCTTCAAATGAACTTTTAATTCGACCTTCTATTACTTTGCAACGTACTCGGGTGTACAGGTACCTACCGATATAAAAAACAAAATCAACCAAAAAAAAAACGTAAAAACATTTGTGAAGTTGATCAAGGTCGATTTCTGTAGTCGATCTTCCCTGAGACCTTGACCGCGGTCAAGGTTGAGATCACTTTGCTGTCGAATCCATAGCCAGGATAAAAAATAGAGAGCCCCATTTAAAATTATGAGGTTGACTTTCAATTGACCTTTAAGGCTTTACCGACGAGATATTTACGTGTATCGATTAAAATGGGATACGTGGTACATCAATTAATGTTGACAAGTGAAAATGGGAAACTTGAAGGGTAGTTTAAAACAATTTTATGGAAATTATGTTGGTTTGGGTTTTTATGCTACTCGAATGCAGAGAAATATTGTACGATTTACACCGACATGAATATCTACAAACATGTACTCCAATTTTTTTATTCTCTACATCAGGGGTTTTCAAACTGTGGTACGCGTACCTACCCCTTAGGGGTACGTGAAAATTTTCAGGGGGTACGTGGGGCACAACATATCTAAAAAGTAAGTACAGAAACAAGCTTAATGTTGAGGACGACTTTGTACTTAGCAAAACTTGAGCCGAACATTGAGGAACTATGTAAAAAGAAGCAAGTACATCTTTCTCATTAATATTTTGTAATGCGTTTCAAACATATTTCCAAATATATTGTGTTTTTGATGTAAAAAGTTTTTTTTAATTTAACCGCTCCCCCGATAACAAGGGGGTACGTAAAATTTTAATTTTTCATTAAGGGGTACCCCGTTTTTGAAAAAGATTGAGAACCCCTGCTCCACATCAAGTTTGAAAGTCCGTTTGTTGATTGCTTGAATTATTTTTCTGGTTTATAATTCATGCTAGATTTTATTAGACGGAAGTTGCACCAATCTTTAGGACAAATATTTTTTTCTTAGAATTTCCCATTTGTATTTTTGGAATGTATTTAAGGTCCACTGTTTATATTTACACTGAACGAATACCCTGATACTGAAAGTGATTGTACATTTACGAGATAAATGTAATGGATTTATATTTAGGGATGTATATCGGGTTTACTTAAATGCACAGCTGTACTTAAAATTTATATAGCGTCCAGTGCTCCCTCTGTGCGTCACATTTTTTTGAATTTTTTGTTGAATCTAGATTTTGAGATATTGTTGAAACTTATTCATTTTAACATAGGTTTACATGGCGAAGATGGACGGTGCGGCTCTTTTTTTGCCCATAACTGAGAAAAAAATGTAGAAATTGTGAAACAAAACTTTTCCATAGATAGTACACAGTATTATCTTATTTTTGATGTAAAACTAATGTATGTTTTGAACATAGTACAGCTGTATTAATTAAAAACAGAAACCAATAATTGCATTTCTGTCTGACTTGAGGATTAATGTGGCAACGTCGCAATCAGCTGACAGCAAGGAGGGAATACATTTGAAAGACTTGATAAAAACGAAATTGATTTCAAAACATATACATTTTTCCTAAATCCCATGTACATTGTTATCAACAATAAATTATCCACAACAGATGATTTTTTGTAATGTTTTTAAAAAACTAAATTATTTAAAAAAGGCTAGGAAGCTGTGATATATTTATTGGAATAAAAAATACAGTTGATAAATTCTTTTAATTTTAATGGTTTATAAAAACATCGTAATCATTAGCCCGCAATATTTAGGGTTACATAAAGTTTTCGTTTTTATTTAAAGGAACCTCTGGTTTCAATCCCATTAAAAAAAAGAAAAAAGTATATTTACACCCCAAAGTGTGTTTAAAAACTAATACTATTTGACACTTCGTGTTACAATGTTGGGTGATGACACTGAGGAAATTAGAATAGAGGAAAATTCCTATTCTTGTGGCGATCGCAGAAGGACAATTTTTTGAGGGAACGCCGGCACTTACCCCAAATCCTGACCCAGGTGAGTCCTGCGGGTGGTCCGATTGGAGCCGATTGGCGGCGTGATCGTTGGAAGAGCACAGCGACGGGGAACACCTGGAGTTGGGGGAGGGTACCAGGGTGGTGGTGGGAGAGAGGCACTGAGGAGACTTACAGGGGGAGTTCAGCGACGGACTTAGGACTACGACGGGGTTCGGGCTATCGGGGGAGACTTCCGGTGAGGGGATGAGTTTGATGCATGGTGAGTGGAGGACGTTCGGACTGGGCACCCGAGGGGGCGACGTCTCCTCCCGCATGGCATGGCTCCTGACTAGCACTTTTAATTTCGAGTTGTGCTGGAAGTGATTTGAGAAACAAAACTGTATAAATGAGGAAGTAGAAAACGAAAATAACAACGATATATTCATGCTAAACTAACTAAAGAGTAAAGATGAATATACAGGGTGTAACTGAAGCAGAGATCAGATTTTTAGGCATTGTGTGTTGTCATATTTTTCCCATGTCAATGCGGACGCAGGGCAAATATTTTTAAACTATGTATTAAATATTAACTATTATTTCTGCTTTTTAAAATATAAATAAAAAATAAAATATAAAAATACTTATTAATTTGATACATTCGAAATCTTTTTAATTTAATTTTAAGTTTATACAGGGTGTTAAAAAAAGAGTGTAAAATATTTCAGGAGGTAATAGTATGAACCAAAATAAGCAGAAAAGTCTTAATAAACATGGGTCCGCAAAGTAACGGTTGCGGAGATATGGACCACTATTCGTTTTTCAAACATTTTATTTTATTAGGAATAAACCGACAAAGGAAGCTTTTAACAAACAAAAAACAAAGTTACAGAAGATGTTCAAAGTGCCCTCCGTCCATTTCCAAGCAGGCACGACATCTTCGTCTCAACGATATTCGAACTCTTTCGAAAACACCCTCCTTGGTTTGGATTTCTTGACACTTTTGATTAATCCGTAGCTGCAGCTCTTCCAGGCTATTTACAGGAGTACCATACACTAATGTCTTCAAATATCCCCAAACAAAGAAATCTAGAGGGTTCAGATCAGGCGATCTTGGAGGCCATAAAACAGGTCCGGCCCTTCCTACCCATCTATGTGGAAAAGTTTGGTGTAAATGCTCTCTAACGGCCATGGAAAAATGAGCTGGAGCACCATCATGCTGGAACCACATTTGTTGCCTCTGATTCAAAGGAATGTCTTCCAAAAACTCATACAGTGTGTTCTGCAGAAAGTTGAGGTAAGCAGCGCCTGTTAATCGGTTTGGTAAAACAACAGGACCTAGAAACCTGTCACCTACAATACCCATCCAAATGTTTAATGAAAAACGTGCCTGATGTCCAGATTCTATTAGAGCATGAGGATTTTCGTCGGCCCAAATATGCGTATTGTGAAAATTAAACACTCCATTTCTTGTGAACCCGGCCTCATCAGTAAAAAGAATGTTTGCAAGAAAACGAGGGTCTTCAGCATCATGACGTAGAAACCAGCGGCAAAAAACCAAACGTGCTTGATGATCATTTATTGGATTTAAGGCCTGTACTCGTTGCACATGGTATGGATAAAGCAGTTGCTCGTGAAGGATTCTCCAAACAAGAGGACCACTAATTCCTACCTCGGCTGATATTCTCCGCACACTCGTACCTGGATTCTGCTCTACCAGTGCTAGAATTTCTTCTTCTGCTCTAGGAGTGGATACCGACCTTGGTCTTCCGGATAAATGGCACTGTTTGCTCAAGGAACCGGTATCACGCAATCTTTGGTGAATTCTTCCAAACATGCGTTGTGAAGGAATCTGGCGATTTGGATAAGCGTCAACATAAAGACGTCGCGCTTCGGTGGCGTTCCCATTAGCACGACCATACATGAAATGCATGTCTGTTAATTCTGCGTTAGAGTAACCAGCCATAGCGAAAGAAAACTTGTGCACTGAGAACAACTGTCAAATACGTACTGTTTATTTCACTAAACATCAACCAACTATTATAAGAAAATACACAACGTTTTTGCAAAATAAAAAAAGGGGCTAAAAAACATAAAACATTCCATATCTCCGCAACGTTACTTTGCTGACCCATGTTTATTGAGACTTTTCTGCTTATTTTGTTTCATACTATTACCTCCTTAAATATTTTACACTCTTTTTTTAACACCCTGTATAATAATAAAAAGTATTGGTTAGAATTTTTTAAAGCACTGTGTTCAGTTCAGTGTGAATGACCTCTGACATTGACCTAGTTCAGGGATATGATAACAAAACGCTAGGTGGGCGAAAAACAAACGGTCAATGTTAATTCGGCCAAACGAGAATGTAGAATTAATCGGTTTTTGAGGCGTTTGTACTATCGTAGGTAAATTTGAGACTTTCTGTTTAGTGTTGTGTTACATTAAGTTTATTTTTATAGCAAAATTTTAAAGTGCTTCTAGTGAAGGTGTATAACCTTACAAAAGTTATTTACTTCTGTGTTTATTGACCGATATGGTATGTTAAATTAAATCGTTAAAAAACGTTAAATTTCTATGTTATTATGAAAAACATGTACAGGGTGTCCCAAAGTTCGCGCCTCGGGCCCATAACAAACAAACGAAAAACGACAGTAAAAATCTGTTGAGATGGCGTCAATGGAGACTCGCTAATGTCCGTTTTGCACTTGAAAAACATTTTTGTCAAAATTCGGAAAATACAAAAAACAACAACTTTTTTTTCCACGCACATACACAATTTTTATGATAATCGAAATTATCTATTTTCTATGAAGTTTTTTTGTGCAGAAATTTTTTCTCTATCTCTTCTTAAAAAGTTACAATAACAAACATGATGTATACGAAAATGTATCCTATTGTATTGGAATTAGTCATGATTTAATCAACATTGCTGTGAAACAATGGTTGAAACTGCTGTCACAAGTCTGTTTACATATAATTTTCTGTCAAACGCTATTTCTTGCATGATAAACAAAGTAGTAAGTGGTTGCTAAAAATTAAAAAATGTTCACAAACAATGAAAAAGGTGACATGATTTTAATTCATGGTGAATGTCAAAAAAATGCCGGAGGAGCTGCCAACTTATATCATGAAAAATATCCAGAGCGTCAAGCTGTTAACACAAAAATATTTGCCAGATTAGGAAGAATTTTGCATGCTAACGAAAATGCATTTTCATCAAGAAAAGGGAAAGGAACTTCAAAATCAGTGTGTAACGATATTACCGTTGCTAGGGTATTACAATATTTTGAGGAAAATCCTAGAAATTCTATACGACAGGCCACTTTTGCATATAATTTAAAAAGAAGCTATGTGCAAATAATTTACAGCTCCAATGGTTACCATGACCATAGCCTAAATAACTTCGAGCACTTATCTTACATACATACTGAAAAAAGAGCAAATAATGGTTAATTTGGAAATAGATAATGGACTGTTACAACACATTCTTTGGACCGATGAGAGTCGTTTTATAAGTAATGGCAAGCCAAATAATGGAAAATCCATATCATGTTAATCCCATTCAAAATCAGGGCCATTATGGAATAAATGTTTGGTGTGACATTACTGGAATGCATTTAAGTGGCCCCTACTTTTACGAAAATGTATTGAACGCTAATAGCTATTTACAGTTTTTGCAAGAGGAGCTCCCAGATCTGCTTGAACATGTGGTTGCAACACGATGGTGCTTCTCCACATAAAGCTAAACGAGTTACAGACTATTTAAAAAATACTTTCGGAACTAAGTGGGTTGGAATCACAGACCACCTAGACTGGCTTATAGAGCGACTTTGGTGAAAACACTTTGGAGCCTGATTGTGTCCTAGCATTTGACGTGTACGCATCGCTGTGATTTCGATAATTAGACGTTTTATCATGGGCAAGTGTATTGTAAAAAATTGTATAAATACAAGTGATCGAGTTGGTGAAGAGAAGCGAAAAGTTTCCTTCTTTAGGTAAGTAAAAAAAAGGAATATATAAAAGGTAAATATGTACGCCATTTTTCGGTTAACGTCACAAGTTTCCAGGGTTAGCTTTATAATTTTGTTCGCCCACATAGTGTAGTGATTAACGTGATATTGTTATTATAAAATAATGAATGAATTACTGTAAAATATTTTTAGTAATTATTTACTTTATGTGAGTCTTAAATTTTTATGAAATTTTACCAATTCCCGTCATTTCGAGATAGCTGAAAATTAATTAAATATTTTTTTCAATTAAAAAAATCGCAAACAAAACTAATTTCAGATTCAGTATTCGTACAGTCAATTAATTTTTATTAAAGATCGTGGTTGTTTGACGTATCCATCTCGAGATGTCGTAGTAATATGCTAAGAAACAGAAAAATTAATAAAATTTTTAAATAATGATGAAAGCAGAACACCTAGGCTACAGAAAAATAAAATTGTTTATCATGTATTAAAAAACTTTCTGAATGTGAACATATTTGAAAATTTGCATGAACATCAATTTGATAATTTGCCTAACAATTGTAATCATTTAATAGAACTTGTAAGGGCTGAATGTGAAAAGTATATCGATGTACGAATAAATCATGAAGTCAAATTATTTAATTCGGTAAAATCTACGAAAAGGCAAATATTAAATAAATTAATATTATTTAGAGGATAATAAATATATTTAAATTATTTTGTAGTTTTAGTTAATATGACACTAAAATATACTATTTTCTGAATAATTACAAACTTTAAATTGAATATTTGTCATAAGATGCAATATAATGTTTAATATGTAATATAAATATTACTTCATCCGGATCTGCTTAAAGATGCGCGCGATCAGATTGCTTTCCACACTCCACTTCCCCGGATTTTGCATTCACTGGTACCCGTGCATTGGAATTAGATACGGCCAGTCTAGGTGGTCTGTGGTTGGAATTAATAGACCTGTAGAATCAAAGTCTCCAGACTATTTTTTATGGGGATCATTAAAAAATCAAGTACACCCACGAGAAGTTTGGAGCATTTAAAGCAAAAGAGTCGACATGTTTGTGAGAACCCTTCAACAGAAACGTTGTTTAAAGCTACAAAGGAAGTTAGGAAAAGATTGGATAAATGCTTAGAAGTAGGAGGCATGCATATTGAAATTTTTTTAAAATAATAATCATAATTTTGTGTTTTGTTTTGTTTTGTTATTAGTTATTGTTACATTTATTAGTTACAATTAAAATTGTGTAATATTTTCTATACTTGGTTTATTTAACCGTAATTATGCGTATTCTATTTTTTTCCGCGGAGTGATCCTTTTTAAGAAGAACATAGCAACTAATATGTAAACAAATTTGTGACAGGAGTTACAGCGATTGCGTGCAAAAAGGACCTTAGCGAGTCTATATTGAACCGTATATTTTTGACCCCGGAAATGGAAAAAATGGAAATTTTTACTTTCGGATATGACCTTGACCATGACCTCCAAGGTCGTTTACAGGTCAAGTCGATTTTCTTGACTGCGGAAATTGAGTGAGCGTAAAATTCAAAAATGACCTATACCATGTCTTTGACCATGATCTAAAGGTAACTGTAACGTCAAACGTAAGCAAAGAACTTAAGTTTAATAATGCTCTTACGAAAAAAATTTAACGGCAAAAATTTTCTTGGCTATCGGATGGTGATATTGTTATGACCTCGGCCTTGTTCCGAAAGTAAAAATAGCGATAACTTTCAACATAATTTTAAGGTCAGGATGGTTTTTAAAACGGGAACTCTTACATTTGCCTCCTGGGTGAAAGGGTGACCCCGAAAACCCCGAGTACATTTTACCTTCAGAGACACGCTGTTGGAAATGCTGTGACCTTTAAACTACCATGACCTCAAGGTCATGATCAAGGTCACATCCGAACGTAATTTTTTTTTCTTTTCATTTCCGGGATCAAAAGTATACAGTTCCATTTAAAATTTTTAACTTAACTTCTAAACGACCTTAAAGGTCATGGTCAAGGTCATATCCGAACGTAAAAATTTCCATTTTTTCCATTTCCGAGGTCAAAAATATACGGTTCCATTTAAAATTTTCAACTTGACCTCTAAATGACCTTCAAGGTCATGGTCAAGGTCACCGTTGGATTGCTCACTCAAAACCCTGCAACTTTTATCCTAATCGTTTTTTTGTTTGAGCAGTATTTTCTGAGATAGAGGGGGGTTCCAAATTTTTTGAAAACATTAGTGAATGTTTGAGATCGTACTTCGTACTGGCAGGAACGTTATCCTGGTTCATAGTATACTAATCAATCAGTAGGGAATCTTAAATGATTTATGAATGAATTACGTATGGCAATTTTTAAATACCCCCACCCTAGGAAAAGTCGCTAAGAATATGGCGGATCCTTCGAGCATATACTACTGGAGGCATGCCGTTGCGAAAATTGTGGCTGAGTGTGCGAGAGAAACAGACAGTACCTCAGTACATGCTGTCTCACTCTAGCACGTCACGATTGGTTGGAAATGAATGCTCCAACCAATCGCGGCGTGCTAGAGTGACACAGCATGTCTGAGATACTGTCTGTCTCTCAGCCACACTTTTCGCAATGGCATGCTACCTCTAGTAGTATAGTAAACATAACCTCTTCTTTTTCCGGGTTTTAATACTTTTAATTATTATACATTAATTTCTGATTAATTAATATAATCCGAGGTAATAGAGATTGTTAGCTATGTAGTAGTGTTACAGATAAATTGAGGTTTTTTTTATTAAGAGAAGTTTAAATTTTTTGGTTAAATACAGGTTTAGTTATTTGAATTCCAGCAGAAATAATTTAGATTAGATTATATCGGTCTGAATTTTATAAATTTTGTTCAAAAACTTACGAAAGCGTATTTATTTTCTAAACATATTTTAAAATGTAAGTCTACTATAATTTTTATTTTAATATTATTAACTATTTATTGGGTATAGTATTACTTATAAATAAATAATCACTAATAAAATACTCAAGAACAAGATAACTAAACTAAACAACTACTCGACATCATAAAATAAGGTTTTTAATTTATAAAGTTGGGTAAATTGTTTATTGTTGCTGATATTAACAAAAATAGACATGCATTGCACCGATCAGGAAAAGGCTAGAATAATTGATGCTCTTTGGCAGCAGGGAGATTCAGTTCGTAACATGAAATCACCTACGTCTCTTTGTCCCACGACACGGCTTTTCTTATAACGTTAATTGTTAATTTACTGTTGGACGTATACGGACCGGGATTTTAGAGACAATAATTAAACAAAGGGTTAAACTTTTATTTTCAGAAATTTTACATTGATAGTTCATGTAAGTAATAAACGCGCTAGCAGAGTAAAATATAACATTAATGAACAGTCTGCACGTGGCAGCGCTAGGCCCGCGCATGCGCGTGAACATCGTTCTCTTAGCGTGCTTGATTTTTAACTTGAACGTTTCAAATTCGGTTAAAAAATCTTGCGCGCGACGAAGGTGGCGTTCACGTGCGTGCACGGACCAGGCGCT